AATTGCGGACCGCATAGCAGAACATTTTCATACTTAAAACGCTCAGTTCAGAAGTCTAATAGAAAAGATATTGGCATTTGAATGTTTCAATTCGCAGTTCTAACTAAATTTGAAATTGGCTTTATAAAATTGCAGGGGACTACGTATCGAGATAGAGATTAGATTGTAATTTGACCGATTGGAGTAAAAGTCACAAAACTGGGAGATTAGTAAACTTTTCTCCGATCGGTCAAGTTTCAATCTAATTTTAATCTCAATCCGCGAAGTCTGACACGGGCTTAACCAGACTGCAGTTTTAAATGAATATTGAATATTTCCGAGATCTAAACATGAAACAACAGAATTATAATAAACCAAGATTAACGTTATATCATGAACTAACAATCTAAATTTTAACACGTAAACTTCCGTAAGATTGCCGGTTTCAATACCTCGTCGGTATATAAATTATTGTACTCTGGCGTTGTTTCAGGATTATGCTGCGTCCATGCATAAATTGGCTGTCGAGTGCTGGGCGGACAACAACTCGGATCTGAAAAACGGAACATACTGCAGAATGGAGTGGATAAAGACCCAGTGCAAGGAGTACTTTCTTAACGGCGGCAGAGAGAAATATGATAAGAGAGAGCGGGACATAAACGCTAAAATGACTCTCTCCTCGACGAGTCCGAGCGTCGAGGGTCGAACGCGCGAGAGCGACCCGGGCTGTGCGGAAGATCGATTGCAAGATCTGTCTGAACGGAGAATATCGGTGCTGGACGTAGGCAGCTGCTACAATCCTCTAGGTGTCGACGTTGCGTTCGACGTCACCGCGATAGATCTCACTCCCACGGCGGAGGGGATCTATCGGTGCGACTTTTTGAACGTCGCGATCGGCAGGGAGAAGATTCTCTCGCAAGACACACGGGACGTTCGTCAGTTGCCCGCGGATTTCTTCGACTCCGTGGTGTTCTCCCTGTTACTGGAGTACCTGCCGTGTCCGGAACAGAGATACGTGTGCTGCAGAAACGCGTACGACGTGCTGAAAAGCGGCGGCATACTGATTATCGTGAGCCCGGACTCGAAGCACGTCGGCGCGAACGCGAAACTGATGAGGTCCTGGAGGTACACGCTCAGCCGGATGGGATTCATGCGAATCAAGTACGAGAAACTGCGCCATATTCACTGCCTGGTGTTCAGGAAGTGCGTGCGCAAAGACGTGGCGATCCGGTGGTCCGAGCTGCAGCATTTCTCCGAGGCCGACGGCGAACGCGTGTCCGAGACGAAGATTTTTATCCCGCAGGATTTCCAGACCTCCCCGTTCCCCGAGGGAGAACGAGACAAGTTGGAATACGAGGAAACTGATTTAGCGAGCGCTTTCTCTGAATTACCGTTCGATAACGAAGCGCCAGCGTGACGCGGCGAGCCTGATTTTGCCACGATGGTAAATAAAATCTGTTATGGAAAATGTTCAAGCCTCAATTTGCACATTTACCGCCTGTTTCTTCAGGGCTGCGTTTCGATATTCTCTATCACTACTGAAATTTTATAGTTTACGTCGCGCACACTATACATTTCTAGCGACGGCAGCAAAACCCGAACGTATCCTGTACAATTTTAGGCAAATCGAAGTACGAGAAGCGCGTTTTAAAATTCGCGGCAAGTATTTATTTCCGCCATTGCGGTAACGTGATCAAATAAAAGTGTTGCGTCCCTTCTACGTATGATATATCCATTGGTAACGTTTCCCCGCCATCTTGAAAAGTTCTTTCCTGCCGCATCTTCCCGCTGGGGCACGTGGTACGTACAATTTTACCTTTATTTTCGGGTTTAACAAGCCCTTCGGCAAGTCATTGCGTCGAAATATATTTTACAATTGCGATATTTTCGAAATTATTAAACATCTCCACGCATAATGCGGTAGTATTTGCGGGAAATGGTCTTTTACGAACGTCGCGTGTACATGACCTGGCGACAAACTCGTCGATGTAGCCTAATAAATAATCATTTGAGATAAATAAATCTACTTATCTAATTCAGAACATACAATCGTAGTAAAAGGCACCATACATTGTAATACAAGGATGCATATAAGATGCGATGAAAAAATTTGGTAACGATTGTTGCAGGTCCAAGATGTCGTCGCACTTGAACTGGATGATAATCCGCAACAACAATGCCTTCCTTCTTAAGAAGCGCAACATCAACAAGCCGTTTTCTACGGTTCGGCGCTTGCTGTATATTATAAAGCGTTATTAGCCGCGTTAAATCTTAAGAAGTTGCGTCTTAGCAATGTTTTCAGCTGCACATAGATCAATAATTGTTGTAATTCGGAGCTTGCTGTATATTATAAAGCGTCATTAACCGCGTTACGCCTTAAGAAGTTGTGTCTTAGCGATGTTTCCAGCTACACGTAGATCAATAATTGTTTAGGAAGCGAACAACTTGACGAACCAGAGCAGTTATCGCTACTCCGGTTTGGTTCACCGCAAGAGCGTGGGCATCGTCGATACCCCCGACAAGAAGGGGTTCACGGTTGTCTACAAGAAGGCCAAAGCGATCAACAAGCCGGCCAAGGCTAATGTGAAGAGCACGATGAAGGCGGGAGCCCGTCGTTCTCTCCACAAGTTGAAGACGCTGCTTAGAAAAAACAAGTACCGTGTGGATCTTACCAAGGTATGAAAATCGTGCAATTGACGCTGATTGAAGTGGCTCAGTAATTCTTCCGTTGTTCTGCTCGGCTTGCACCAGAATCTCAAAGAAAACTTGGGCAGACAATCTAATTGTAAGGCGGAATAAAAACTAACACGTGGTTTTCAACCTCGCTGTTTATACATATTTCAATATAAACAGAACTTTTATCATTTATGAATTAATCAGAGATTCAATTTAATGTTGACTGCACTTCCAATAGTCGAGAAGCCCGGGAAAATTCTGTGGATTGGTATTAATTCTATTGTGAGCTTCCATACACGCGTACTTATATGTGCGCCTGCAAGTTTTTGGAATTAATAATTGATTTTTTAAGGCACAACCTTTGGCAGTTGAAGAATTAATATTGTTTCGAAGAACAAGAAAGTTAATTAAAACGTTATCATTATCTCTTCTTACTGTTTCTCTCGACATAGTATAATACAATTTTGTTTTATATGTCATTAGCTATGTTAATACTGTATTAATGCTAGAACATAACGTGTTTTGTAGGCTGCACTACGACGAGCCAGTGCTGTGCTGAGGTCCCAGAAGCCTCTTCCTACTAAGAAGACACGAACCACTAAAAAGGCCGATTAATTTGTATACTTCATTAAATATATGTTGTAAATTAAAATATTTGTTACGGAAGATGTATTCTGTGAAGTAAATGTGCTCTAGCTGTTCGACATTCTTTGTTTAAATGTATTATATTATTTAATGTATTGCATTTTTATTGATTTTTGCGAAATTTTGCTGTGCACCATTACTTTGCAGATATGTCATATTGTAATCAACAAACTACACACGTTTCAGTTAAGTAAAAAAATTTTTTTAGGTAAGCGTTTACATCCTGCATCATGTAATGCTCCCTTTATTACGTTGTAGGATTAGATTTTACATGTAATTTTATTTGTTTAGATTTAAAGAGAAGTCGTCAAGTGCACTCCTTTGGTTATTGTAATCGATCTACAAAATCCAGTTTTAAGGTAAATTTGATTTAATAACAGTTTCTAATTCATTATATCATTTACCACAAATGTCGAAGATGATACCAGATGATCATCAAGAACTATGTGCCATGATTTGTATGTTTTTAATTAATTATTTATGTCTAAAATTCAAGTATACAAACAGCAATTAATAAATATTATAGTTATTTCTTTACTTAGTTTTTCAAATCTCATAAGAAAAAGCATTTTGAGATAATATGAAATGATATAAAATATTTTTATATGCTTTTATTTTTTACATTAAATAATTTGATATGTTGTTCAATAATGAATATAGAATTTTCTACTTTATCAGGTCTGCTGAAAACCCCTGGAAGTTGTACTAAAACGACAAAGAATATAGGTAATTTTGTTTATTGTAAAATATATTATCTATATACATACTAAAGTGATGATAATTATCCACCAAGATCTATGATTGCTATGATTTGAATAGTATTTGCTAACTGATTATTATCTACATCGGTCTAAAAATCAAATATGAAAGTAACAGTTTTATTTAATACAATAATTTTATTATTTAGGTTGCTTGTGAATCGTAAATGGAGGAGCATCTTAAATTTTATACAATAAAAGGTACTTATATTTTGCCACATTACTGTTTTTCTTTTAAATTATATTATAAATTTCAATAATTTGCTATTTTTTACTTAGTAAATTTCACTTTGATATATTAGTAATATTGTTCAACAATAATAAATACATTTTTCGATTTTATTTAACAGGTTGCTAAATCTCTAATTAAAGAAAATTGTGGTCAAAGGACAAAGACTACAGGTAATTGTTGTATGCATCATATAATTTTTCAAATTGTATAATATATAAACATGATGATACTTATCCACCAAGATCTATGATTGCTATGATTTGAATAGTATTTGCTAACTGATTATTATCTACATCAGTCTAAAAATCAAGTATGATAGTAACAGTTTTAATTAATACAATAAATTTATTATTTAGGTTGCTTGTGAATCTTAAATGGAGGAGCATCTTAAGTTGTATACAACAAAAGGTACTTATATTTTGCCATATTGCGTTTTTTTAAATTACGTTTTACATAAAATGATACTACTATGGCTACTGAGATCTATAAATGTTATATTTCTATTTATTTTTATTATAAATTTACATACATTGCTATTTTTACTTCATAAATCTCAATTTGATATATTAACAATATTGTTCAACGATAATAAATACATTTTTCGATTTTATTTAACAGATTGTTAAATCCCTAATCAAAGAAAATTATGGTCAAAGGACAAAGACTACAAGTAATTGTTGTATGGATCATATAATTTTTCAAATTTTATAAAAATAAGTTGATATATATAAACATGATGAGACTTATCCACCAAGATCTATGATTGCTATGATTTGAATAGTATTTGCTAACTGATTATTATCTACATCAGTCTAAAAATCAAGTATGAAAGTAACAGTTTTAATTAATACAATAATTTTATTATTTAGGTTCTTGTGGTTCTTAAATGGAGGAGCATCTTAAGTTGTATACAACAAAAGGTACTTATATTTCCCCACATTGCGTTTTTTTAAATTACGTTTTACATAAAATGATACTACTACGGTTACTGAGATCTATAAATGTTATATTTCTATTTATTTTTATTATAAATTTACATAAATTGCTATTTTTACTTCATAAATCTCAATTTGATATATTAACAATATTGTTCAACGATAATAAATACATTTTTCGATTTTATTTAACAGATTGTTAAATCCCTAATCAAAGAAAATTATGGTCAAAGGACATAGACTACAAGTAATTGTTGTATGGATCATATAATTTTTCAAATTTTATAAAAATAAGTTGATATATATAAACATGATGATACTTATCCACCAAGATCTATGATTGCTATGATTTGAATAGTATTTGCTAACTGATTATTATCTACATCAGTCTAAAAATCAAGTATGAAAGTAACAGTTTTAATTAATACAATAATTTTATTATTTAGGTTGCTTGTGGATCTTAAACGGAGGAGCATCTTAAGTTGTATACAACAAAAGGTACTTATATTTTGCCACATTGCGTTTTTTTAAATTACGTTTTACATAAAATGATACTACTATGGTTACTGAGATCTATAAATGTTATATTTCTATTTATTATTTTTATTATAAATTTAAATAAATTGCTATTTTTACTTCATAAATCTCAATTTGATATATTAACAATATTGTTCAACGATAATAAATACATTTTTCGATTCTATTTAACAGATTGTTAAATCCCTAATCAAAGAAAATTATGGTCAAAGGACAAAGACTACAGGTAATTGTTGTATGGATCATATAATTTTTCAAGTTTTATAAAAATAAGTTGATATATATAAACATGATGAGACTTATCCACCAAGATCTATGATTGCTATGATTTGAATAGTATTTGCTAACTGATTATTATCTACATCAGTCTAAAAATCAAGTATGAAAGTAACAGTTTTAATTAATACAATAATTTTATTATTTAGGTTGCTTGTGGATCTTAAACGGAGGAGCATCTTAAGTTGTATACAACAAAAGGTACTTATATTTTGCCACATTGCGTTTTTTTAAATTACGTTTTACATAAAATGATACTACTACGGTTACAGAGATCTATAAATGTTATATTTCTATTTATTTTTATTATAAATTTAAATAAATTGCTATTTTTTACTTCATAAATCTCAATTTGATATATTAACAATATTGTTCAACGATAATAAATACATTTTTCGATTTTATTTAACAGGTTGTTAAATTTCTAATCAAAGAAAATTATGGTCAAAGGACAAAGACTAATTGTTGTATGGATCATATAATTTTTCAAATTTTATAAAAATAAGTTGATATATATAAACATGATGATACTTATCCACCAAGATCTATGATTGCTATGATTTGAATAGTATTTGCTAACTGATGATTATCTACATCAGTCTAAAAATCAAGTATGAAAGTAACAGTTTTAATTAATACAATAATTTTATTATTTAGGTTGCTTGTGGATCTTAAATGGAGGAGCATCTTAAGTTGTATACAATAAAAGGTACATATGTTTTGCTATGTTTTGAATTACCTTCTAGATAAACTGATACTACCATGCTTAGTGAGATCAATTGTATAAATGCCATGATACTTCTACTTGCTAGTCACAACTTCATAAACTTCAACAATTTGCTATTTTTACTTCAGAAATCCTAATTTGATATATTAATAATATTGTTCAATAATAAATAGAATTTTCGGTTTTATTTAATAGGTTTACTGGATCCCTAATCAAAGGCAATTGTGGTCAAAGGACAAAGACTACAGGTAATTTTTATTTGTTGTATGGACTACATAATTTTTTTAATTGAGTAAAAATAAGTCAATATATAAAAATGATGATATTATCCACCAAGATCTATGAATGCTATGATTTGTAGTAGTTGCCAGCTCTGATAATTGTTTATATTAATTTGATATTTACAAAGAAGGAGCCATTTTAACTAAATTATTTTATTATTTAGGTTGCTTGCAAATTTCAAGTGATCTTTCAAAAACATCTTGAGATTGTGTATGAAGAAATTTAATTAAATTATCTTTTAAGTGGAATTATTATAATCATTAACAATGCCATGATATTTAATTTACTACTCGATACTTATGTATTCAGCTATTAAATATATTTACAAAAACCATTTGTTAAATAATTTTTTAAAAATATGCCATATACTATCTTTGTTACAGATTGTAGATTATCCGGCTTTAACAGATTCTAAATTAGAGATTTCTATGGTCCAAAAATTTCCAGTTTTTCCCGTTATTTTATCAGTGGCTGAATAACTGATTGTTTCTAGGATATCTGCGTTTACCTCATTTGATTTTTCAGGTGATATTCCCATTGATTTTTTCCGCTGATTTTCTATCCTTATCCTTTTATACGAGTTGTCTATGTTGTATATATTTTAATTATTTTTATAGCTATTTTAATTTTCTATTTTGTATTATTGATAAATGCTAATTATTGGCATATAAGAAACGATGTATAAAATAAACGGCGTAAAATAAAACCGTGCAATATGTTTCTTTTACATTATAATAAGAAAATGAAAATTCATACATGTGACAAATGTACAAAAATGCATTAATTGTATGCGTATGATAATCAAAATATAAATATGAAATCACAAAATAGGATAAACAATACTTCAAATAAAATTATTGATTATTTAATAGGTAATGCATTTGTATTGAATAATTTAATGTATTTGCACTTTTGTGATTTATACTAACATTTTTAACATTTTCAATTTTATATTTAATTATCATTTTCCTTCAAGAAAAAAGAACATGTTCGATGTAGTTTTCTTATATATTTGTTTGTCTCTTATACTAACACGGTAGCGGAAGGATGAGAGAATACTTATGCAGGGTCTACAATGAGAGTCGCAGTCTGTCGCAGTCGTAAAAATAATGGACTGCGATTGGTCAATTTAGTCAGACACATAAGAATTAACCAATCATAGTCGACTATTCTTACGACTACGACTTTACGACTTCTATGTAAACGAGGCTTTAGGAGATGAATAAAGTAATATTTAATTTTCTTCTAAAGATATACTTTGTTTTAAAGATTATAAAGATCATGTTACCTTTTTTACATACGAATTTAACTCTGACCAAAACTAGCCCTTGGAAAAAATTTAACTTTAAATGAAATTACAGTTTTTAAAAGTAATCTTTTAAATCTAAGTGTTTACTTAAAGAACTCAGAAGTTTACTTAAGAAAATTTCAAGGTTTTCTAAACGCATATTTTTCCAAAGGAGTATATTTCTTTAATTTACTTTAAGAACAATCATTAAGTAATTTTATCGTAGATTTTTGTCTAAGAAGATAATTTCCGATCGGTGTATTATCAAGTATTCTTATAATGGCTTTTTCAATTCAAAATTTTGCCGAAAGACAATTAAGAAACTTGAACGAGCGGGGAGCTTTCGACGGGCGATATTTTCGTATTCGAGTCAGCGGCGCCAATCGGACAACAAGGACGCTGCGAGGTGCAGTGCGTCATCCACGAACTACGAGCGCGGCTGACTTCAGTTGCCGCGACAACGCCGATCGAGAGGACGGGGGAGAAAGGTATAGAGCGTATGGTATTTTCACCGGTGAGAGAAACGCATTTTTTTCAAAACGGTCTCTCGTTCCAGGGCGGCGATAAGGTCTGAATGATAAAGAAGGAAAGAAATAATGAACTTCAGCTTGCCGCAGTGAAATTGCGGCGGCGGTCATAACCTCCATAACCTCGTTCGCGTGTGAAATCGTGGCTCGTAACCGGTGGAATGGCGGTTGGTTCGACGAAGGTGGTCCAGGTGACGAATATCGCACCCCAGGCCACCAAGGATCAGATGCAGACGCTCTTCGGGTATCTGGGCAAAATCGAGGACATCAGGTTGTACCCGACAATCCGGGATGTCGCCGTGCCCGTGCAGTCGCGCATCTGCTACATCAAGTTTCACGACCAGGGCTGCGTCGCAGTGGCCCAGCACATGACCAATACCGTCTTCATTGACCGCGCACTTATAGTGATCCCGTACCAGAACGGAGACATTCCGGACGAGCAGCGTGCCTTGGAGCTGACCAACAATGGCACAGTTGTGCCGGGTAAGAATATTAAAGTCGCACGTGGTTCTTAATCTTGCCGGTGTTGCCAGTTGTCATTATCCCACGCAAACCGCGAGCAGATTTTAACATGTTACCCCGTTTTGAATTTGTTTCCGCTGTTACGCAGCGATGTATACTGGTCTTGAAGATAGAACACATGCTTGTCGCTATAAAACGTTTTACCCACTTTCAGATGACAGATTTGATCTATCTTGAAATTTTTCTTTTCTTTTCTGTTGATGACAAAGAAATCTTTTCAGGCCTCTATCCGTCAGAGCCGAAGCTGCCGCCGAACGTGGTGAACGCCATTGAAGGTATTCCTCCAAATCATGTCATCACCACGATGGACCCGAAGCTAGAAGCAAATGGCCTGCCATCCTATCCGCACCTGCCGGGTCATCTGGACAGCAGACGCATCGAAGAGATCCGTCGGACGCTCGTCGTGGCGAATTTGGATGCGTCGATAAGCTCTGAGCAGCTGCTGGACTTCTTCAGCAACAACAACGTGGAGATCAAGTACCTGCGTTTATGCAGCAGGGACTCGGACGCCGAGCATTATGCGCTGGTGGAGCTGTCGGAACAGGCCGCCGTGGTTGCGGCATTGATGTTGAATGGGAAGCAGCTGGCGGAACGTCCGATTAAGCTGTACCACTCGACGCAGGCAATCGCGAAGCCAGAGGCGAAGAGCAACGAGGCTGCGCAGAAGGAGATTGAGGAGGCGATGTCGCGGGTGAAGGAGGCGCACAATCTCATCTCTGCGGCAATCGACCCGATGATTGGCATGCTTTCTAAGGATAAGCGTAGTAGAAGCGGCTCGCGTAGCCGTAAGTCCCGTTCGCGATCCCGCGGCCGCAGTCGACGCTCGAGGTCGCGTAAGCGCTCGCGATCGCGCCATCGACGCTCGCGCTCCCGACATCGGCGCCGATCGCGCTCGCGCTCCAAACGATCTCGATCCAAGGACCGCAGGCGCAACTCGCCATCGAGGCGACGCAGCAGCTCGCGCAGCCGCCACCGCTCGCGCAGCAGATCGAGAAGGTCGAGGTATAACTGAACGATCTTCTGTCTTTGCCTTAGTTATGTTGTACTCGTACATTTTTGCAAATCTTGCTTATACTTGACTCGTAAATTCTAGAAAAATGTGAAATTTATCGTAGAAGTGTTTCAATCTTGGAAGAAAATGTATTCAAGGTGCGATTGATAAAGAGATGGTTGTGTTTATGTTCATGTATTATGCATTAATTAATTTTATTTCATTGAAGGTCGCGCCAATCCCCATCCAGGTCAAAAGAACGGAAGAAGAGGTCACCGCGTCGTCGCAGTCGTTCACGTTCGCGTAGCAAGGGTTCTACATCCAGGTCTAGACGGTCGCGTTCCAAATCCAAGTCCAAGTCCAGGTCGTCCAAGTCCAAGTACGCCTCGGACAAGACCAAGGACAAGGATCGGGAGAGGCGCAGCAAGGATAAGTCGGATAACGGTAAGAGGAGCGACAGCGATCGGGAGAGGCCCGAAAAGGAAAGCAGCAGAAGCGAGAAGAAGTCCAGTAAGGAGAAGCGGTCCAGTGACAAGTCGGAGTCCAAACAGTCGGACGACAAAGGTAGATCCGCATTGGAGAACAACGACAGCAAGGAGAAAACGACGGAGTCGGAAAATTAGACGAAGACACCGTTCACAAGCGTCCCGTTAAATTAAACAAGCTATCTGTCTGTATCGCTATGTATTGCCACAGTAACAAATACATGGATACATCGGCATTTACATCGAGCTCTTTCGGAGTGGCAGTCCGCATTAATAATCGAAATTGATCGTATACTCACAATAAACAAATGATGATAAATTAAACGCAAAGTATAGTATAAAAGTAATGTACTTGTACCACTTTTATAGTAACTTTTATATTATCCGCGCAACATATCATCACGCGTTTATTGGTCTGTCACCTAGCGTTAAGGGACTGATCTTCTTTTTCTTTTTTTTCGGAATCGGCGGTGGCTTGACATCTGTCTCTTCTTTTTTCTTCTCGTTGTGCACTTCCATGGGCGCGTTCTTAGACGACCTAGGAAAACAATGCGAACAATACATCGTGATCTCTCGTTCAGTCGAACCGTCTTTGTCAAGAGCAGGTTTTTAACCATTATATTAAGCTTATCTTAAGCTAAACAGTTTGCGAGATAAAAATAGTAACAATGTTTTAAGTACTTTACTAATAATTGTGTTTCAATTACTATTGTAATAGATCATAGCAGTGTCTGTTAGTTTCAATAATTGATTGGTCTGCGTAATTACAATATATTAAAGTACTTCAAATTTTTGCCCAGGATTGTATAAAAATCGATAAGCAATAAAAATACAGGTGGTATATGCGACCCACAAATCTCACGAGAAAAATGTGTTCCCTCGTAATCTGTGAATTATTGCTTATAGGTTTTTTTTTTAAATAAGCGAGTACCCTGCCATATCCTGGTTCTCGTAAATCGCCACGTCGTCGTAGATTTCCATCTTCATGGGAACTGGCGCGCGGAACCGCGACTTTTGCGCGTTTTTTATGGTCGATCGTCTCTTCAGTACCATCTGCTTTCGTTACAGTTGATTTATTAATTTGTCAGTCCCTTTGTATGCGAGATCATCTTACTCAAAAGCATTCTTTTTAATGATATCCCTCACCATTCCCGTGTTTCCGTCTTGTGAAGAGGCCGAGGTCATTTCCATCGAGTCATTCATGTGCACCTTTCTACGCAGCACGTCGTCCACTTGGCAGCTTCCTGTCGATTAAGACGAACGTAACTTTTTACATTTGTTCTAGAAGTAAAATAGTCTCAAGGCATCCTAGTAGAAACTATTACAAGTAAAATTGCTTACTCATTACACATTCGTCGTACTGGCCGAGAGGGTCTATTTGCAAAAGCGTAGACAGCGTATTAGGATAACGCAAGTCCATAAATATCATTATAATCGCCAAGAGAACGCAAAATAGTCCTGGAAAGAAATACATTGAAGATCATGCGGATGACACATATGAGATCTATGCTTAAATCCAGTCGATCTATAAAGAACAATTAATCACCGCATCCGAAAGTCATCCAGAAATGCATGCCCAGTGTCATCCTAATGACTCCATCCTCGAAGGGAATCACAAGTGGAGTTGGATTGTGCACGTAGACCCACACGAGACAAGTTAACAATTGCAAGCCGCCGATCAAACCGATTAGATAGGCGGCGTATCGGCTCACTGACTGCAGGAATATGTTAGCCAGAATCCAACAGGCGAAGGCAGTCCTGCGAACAGTTGAGAATTTTCACGGTAGAACTAACATATTTATTATAAGAAAATTAGCATATATTTTTCTTAGCTGATTCAAGATTCATACCCCAGTGAGAAATGACTCGTCGGTCGATGTCGAGTCGACATCGTTTCGACGAATCGTTCCTCACTGCGATGGAATCAGTTGATCAATCTTCAAAAAATAAATGCAATTTCACATTTTTATATACGAAAATTAATTTTTGCTTCTTTTTGCACTTATTTTCGTTTTCTTTACTGACCATAGCAAGATGTGACAGTACCACCCGGCAGTTCGATAAAACCTCCCAAATCGAATGCCCTCCCCATCGATAACGAAATACTCGGCGATCCATAAAATAGGAATGGGCAAGCCCTTTCGTTGGCCTTCACGGAAAGTCCTTTGCAACAGTCCAGCTACAGGAAGAAGATTAATATTAGGTATATAAATGTCCTGATAAAGCGCGACGAAGTTTATAACGATCGGCAGCGATATTACCGTAGGGTCCAAAACCGATTCTGCCTTGGTCCCATGTCCAGGGGAATCTCTCATTGTAATCGATCGTTTCTTTTGCGAGCGGTGTGCCTTCTCGCGGTTTGGCTGAAAAAGAAAGTTTTCAATTAGCGTAATTCCAAATTTTGCTCACAAGGTGCATCGCATCGCCTCACGGAAGATGGGCTGAATTAAAAAGAGCTAGGACTGCGCTTTGGATGGCATCCCTTCCCATCTTGGAAAATCCCATTCTTATCGATATATATGTGTAAATGTATCTGCTTTTTTGGACTCGCTCCCTTAAATTACCTTTCAGTGTGATGTTTACTGATCTCAGTCCTATCTTGACTGCCATTTGGGCATTGATCTCCTGGCCTATGCCGGCCCGATAGGGCGTCTTGCTTCTCGTGCTGCCGTATTCCCATTCTTGACCGAAATTTTCTACTGTAAATTTATAACAGTCGACACACGGGTGAATGCAATATATCTATATATAATATATAGAACAGATACCGTAAAAATTCTGCTTAAAAATATTTACCTATTAAGAAGCACCCAATGACAATGCTGAAGCCGATCTTTATAGTTATGTAGATACTCTGTGCGATACCAAGATCATTTTGTTAGAAGTAAGAAGTAAGCGTACGAATGAAACAAGTTGAGATTGCATTGATACAAACTTCACGCTTAAATTACAATTAATTATAAGAATTATTCATAAGTAATTTAAATTTGCTTACACATTATATACATATATATGTATATGTGAAATACACATATCTATATATATTTAAAATAAAAAAAATTATATATTATATACATTTATATGTGTATATATGTATAGTTTTTCTGTATTCTAAAATTTTACTGTATGAAATTGTTCTAAAGTAAATATACAGTTTGCATGTGATAATTATAATTATGTGTACACGTTTATGGTGCACATCTATGGACTTATTTGGACAAATATATCGAGGAGTTTTTAAAGAAATTATTTCTTTTATTTCAGACGACTCCAATAACACAATATGAGAAAAGACAGGTTGTAGAGGGATCCGAAAGCTATCCCAAGTGAAGTTTACAAGATACTCCTTAGAACCTGGTGTTAACCGTCCAACGCTGAAGCTCTGTACTTACTTGCCTCTTCCGATAGCCCGGTATGACGCTAATGTAGGCAATCGCGATGATGACGAAAACGGCGATCAGTATTGTCTCGGTCACGTCCACCGTCACCGGGGTGTGATGCGCAGAATATTGCGAGGGAAAGCCCTCCGATCGTCCAAACTGAAACCCCATGAGTACACACCTATTCTTTCTCAGCGACGTAAATCATTTAAAATAATTTATTTTTAGTCCAGAAAAAAAATTCGCGGTAGAGAATTGGTAACGTACTACAGACTAGTCCTTACACGACGAACCCCGGCGATGCTGCGGTTTTATCTGATTTCCTTTTCCGGCTGTTTTAACGCTCGAGACTGGATGACTAAAGCGCCAGGCTTTATCGTTTAAACATCCGCATAGAATCGGCATAATATCAAAATTACATCGATACCAAGTGAAATAATTCTTTCTTGTACATCTCTTAAGTACAAATCTCTTGTGACTTTTCACAGATTCTCGAATAATTCGCGAATTTTACTTCGGCCCGTATTCTCGCGGCTCGATCGTGAATTTTTTTCTCCAGCATGAACTCGTGAAACGTGAATAATTTTACTGACCAATACTGAATTCGTCAATGAAATCTTTTACTTTTCACGAGTTCACGCTGGAGAAAAAGATTCATAATCGAACCCCTGAACCCTCTTTTATCAATAAAAGCGCCTCTAAAAGTGACTAATAAGCCTTCTGATTGGCTACAAGCCGCTTTTAGAGGCGTTTTTATCGATAAAAGGGGATTTAGAATATCAGCCTTTGTGTTCAGCATTATACTTGCAACAAGCTCTGCCTAATTATCGTAACAATTAAAACGGGCGTTTTATAATGTTAAAAAAATAACTGATTGAATAGGTAATTCGGATAGGTAATTAGGAGATTATTCGTATTAATAATTGCTAAATAAATATTTTATACTTATAACTTTTAATAAATTTTCCTACATTAGTTTTAATCGTGGAAATGCAGAAGAAAATTATTCGCGCTTTCAGATACTTCAGAGCTTTATACGCAACAATTGTATCCACGCTTTGGCATTCATAATTGTTTCACAATTCCAACATTCTCAATTAAAATAAGAACCGAGTATCCAGACATTCACACGTTCGTGTGTTATCTTGGCACAATAGTTGCTTCAGTCTTTACAACTGATTTCAGTAACAAATTAGATAAAACGTAAAATTTGCCCAGAACAATGCAACGAAAGAAATCTAGTAGTAAAAGTGTGCAAGGGAACTTCACAGTTGGAAGCGTACGCTTTAAAAGCGGATAACAAGAGAGGCTTTATACGACAGAGTTTAAAGAAAGGATAATGCTTTTAAAATTTTTCGCGCGCTGTCGTCGCCCACGGCGTCCGGAGCGACGCGTGAACAGCTGAAAAATTGCAAGTCGACGGTCGATCTAACGCGCCGAGAGCGCGAGGATCAACTCACGTGTACGCGACATGGCGCGACGTCAGGTTAACCGCTTATCACCAGTCATTCCCCGTCACCAATTCTAGTATCGTTTACATGCCGAGGTGAAGCAACTCTTTCGACAGAAAGTGCGAGCAAAATGACGGTGAGTTCCGCGAGTCTCTCTGTCCTGCGTTTTTCTCACAGTAAACGTTTATTCCTCATTAATCGACACTTCCATAAGGAAACGCTCCGGTTGTTCAGGCTACTCTTAAGTAGAATCCTAGTAGAATCCTCTGATCAGCAATCACTCGTAGACCAGCGAGGTATAATCTAACTTTATATTCTGTGCAGACGAAGAAGGGTAAGGTATTGACCAAGGGAGGGAAGCAGATAAAGGAGGAGAATGTCTCCACGCTGAGCTTCTACGTCTACATGGCCCTGGGCGCGATGGGGATTCACTTCGCCGTGACAATGGCTCTGTTCGAGTTCACCACGCTGACGATAGTAAGTCCCGTGTCCGAGGAATAGGACGCCGCAGCCACGAGACCCCCCTTAACATGTGTTTCGTTATCGTTACAGAGCCTAACGGTATTGTCTGCAATTGTATATATAGGAAGCTATCAATTTATGTCGTACATGGCTCGCACCACGTACTCGGAATCTGGTCAGCTCTTGAACCCTGGAGTCGACCTCAACATGGAAGGTGGCATAGCAGAGTGAGTGTCGGCTGCAAGATGATCTTTTCATCGCTGCTATCATCTTCCGCTGTTTATTGATTGAAGTGTCATTCTGTTTATAGGCACGTGAAAGATTTAATCATATTGACGTCGGGCGTGCAAATCCTGTCTCTACTCTCCAACTACTTCTGGTTCTTGTGGCTCTTGGTACGCATCTCGGCTAATCGTTTGCGTTATTCTCTTTACGACGTTATAAGAGGATCGTGTATACGTGGAATTCTTGTCGTGCATCTTGTGAATTCTTGTAGGTACCACTGAGAGGCGGCTGGATGTTCTGGAAGCAGATTTTGGCTCCGTGGTTCTTCGACCAGCCTCAAGAAGTCGAGATGACTGAGAAGAAGATGCGCAAGATGGAGAGGAAGATGGCGAAGCGACACCAATGAAAATTCGTCGTTGCTGTGTAATATGAATGTGTAATATGAAAATTCCACTGAATGACAATTGATTTAATCAGGGGACGGATAGAAAAGTTCACGGGATACACTGAGAAGAGAACTAATACCTTGGGATCTTTTTCTTGACATTCAGCATGTCGAGATTGTGCGCGGTGGGTTCGGCATTTACATAGGATAAGTAATGAAGTGGGAGACTTGGTAAGTTTTAACGAAAATGTACGGGAAAACAGTTTCTTAGGATTAGGCGGTATGGCAAATTGGGAGATGGACTTCGTCTCTATCTCCTCGCATTCCGAACAATCTCAGCAGACTGCAATCCTCTTTATATGTCTAGAAAATTCGAGACGCTCTTATTCAGAAATATTTGTGGATTTACTTCTATATAAGTCGAAGGTGCAACGCTAAATTATTATTAGGAAGTTAAATGTAATTGTGTGTGTTCAAGGAAGATTTGAGATATTACGTTAATTTATTTTAATAATTTATTCACTTTACCGACTTATATGGAAATAAAACTGTTCTTACGTAAGAGGTGTCTCGACACGTTCATTCTCCATACAGCATTGTTAATGTGAATGATCTTTTTTTTTTGTAATTATAGCAGTAATACTACACTAACGCTCAGTTTTTTATCTTCCACTTGTACGTAAGTGTCTATCTAAGTAATTAAGCGGTGAACAGGTGCCTTTGTGGAAACAATGAGAACGAATGACGCCGACAGGTGATGGATAAAAATTGAATCATGTAATGGATGTAATACTTGCTTATATTGTATGTCTGAAAGTTCAGTCATCCTCCTACCAGCACAAATGGATTCAAACCAGACTATGGTTAGTCGGTATTGTATATATACCGATTACATTATTCAACGTTATAAATAAATCATTTGCTATTTATTAAATTGTGGTAGTTGATGAATCGACGCATCACAGTTGCATTTAAATCTATCATATCTTACAATTACATCTTTGTTTGGGAATGAAAACTTACAAATGTAAATCGCTAAATAGCGACCGACTTTGTTTGAACAATTATATACTTATTTATATTAATCGTTGGGCTCTATTCTCTATACATTGGTCACGGAATGTTTCTGTATAATGCGCGAAAAATCTCAATCTTTTTTTTAAATTAGGCCAACGTTTGTACTTTAATATCTAACGTCAAACGTGTCCGTTTAATTCACAGCTTTTGTTTTGGCTTTTACGTATGCACGCATGACTGTCCAGTGAAATTCGCAATTCGTTGATAACAATGTTACTTACTCGAGCCAATATTACAGTAGCTACATTACCTAAGTGAGCCGACAAATTATTTCAAAAGGAAGTGAAGAGGCAGACGATGCTGCAAGTAAGAAGATACTTCCCATAAAGAGAGAGGAGCAAAATGATACTCTAAAGTTGGAAGACTGCATCATTAAATAGGAAATATTGATAAAGAAAAATTGAAAATCGTCATTTGAAAACGAATCAAAATGTCAGAAGAAAAAACCTAAGCATCGTAGGAATAAAACTGTTTTAATTCTAACGCGATTGAATGTAAAGTGTGGGACTAAGTGAAAAATCTTATAATTAATTGGAATGTCTTAAGATTTCAGGCGCTCAATCGTAATTACATTACATGCAAAATTACTGGAATTGTAGCTGCATGAAAGCACAGTACAGAGTATAACTTGAATCCTAGAGAATTGTTGTTCTCTCATATAAAAGAATTAGAGACGAGGCCTCAAGGATGTTGCATTTTCAACACCTTCATCAGGAAATGCAGTGATAATAAATGATATGTCGATTTCACTGAACAGCAGCGTTTGCACCGCCAAATTATAGAATCGAGCCATGCTATCTAGATTCTACATTTGGCCGGTAATGAATTCTTTGCAATTGAAACAGCCAATATCTGGATATCCAGATAAAATAGTTTCAAACAAACAAAAATTTACCCTTCTTCTGTGTCACTTAACCGATCCATAAAAGGATATAATTAAGATTTGGACTAAAGATAACTAGAAACTTGTATCTCTCTTTACACATTATTCAAATTTAAATCAGAAAAATGTACGCGATAGATTTCTCTTTCGACTAAGCGTATTGTCTATTTCAATTGCCGGGTATATATTTATATAAAGACTAAGACTCATAAATCCGGATACAAGACACCTTGAAATGCATCGTGAAACAATCCTTATACATTGTCAGTATCCAAGCCTTTCTTCTTCCTGTAATCGTACTCCGATTGATAACTCGGTGGATGATTGTGTTCGTGCACTCCCGTCGGCATGAACGTTTCGGCGATCACCGAGCATTTGCCGCGGCAACCGCGATGCTGCTCCGCGCAACGATAATGCGAGCTGTTGTATACTTTGGAACGAGAGGTCATATTGTATACGTATCCCTCGTGAACCAGTTGTGGTCTTCCTCTGGCAGACAGTCTGTATATTACTGGCTCCACGGCTGCAAATATTTAAATCTTTATTGAAATTCGTTTCACGTAAAACGATATCAAGTATTTAACAATCAATTAACGAATGCCTCACAGCCAGCAAAATTAATATCTAACGAATAGCATAATAAGATACCATGTACCTGATTGTAACAACGAGTTTTCTTCTAACGTTTCTTCATTGGACAACTCAATTATCTCTTTGCTATCGTGGTTAATTGCCTCAGTGGTCGCGTTGCGTCCGATATCCTTCTCGTTGTTAGAATCATTCGCGTCTCTCTCATCGTTATCCGACAAGAGGCAAATGTCGTCCTTGTTGTTGACGCTCGATTCATTTCTCAGTTTCTTGATCGAGCTGTAATCGTCCTCGCCCATGCATCTCTTTCTCGTTTTAGTGCTCCTCTTGACTATCCTGTGAGAGTGCGCAGACCCGTCTGAAGCTTTGCTCCTGCCATCCTGCTCGCTCGGCACGTCGGACAGGGCGGTCACATCGTCGGAATCACGCTGATCTGACACATTGGCATAATTGTTTAACAATGGTATGATCTCTTCCTCGCCACCCACTAGTCCTTTTATCTGCAGCATCTGCGCCAGCTTTAGGAAAGTGGGCAGGTCCTCCTGTTTCACGTTCACCTCTCCCTGGTACATGAACTTCAACAGAGACGTTATCTCCGAGTGTTTCACATCCTTCAATATTATGACTGGATGCTGACAGGGATTCTCCTGCGGGGCAAGTCGAGCTGTTACCCCCCCCAAGTACAATTAGAGGAGAGCCCCTCTATCGCGAGAGGTCTCTAGCGTGAGACAACAGGTTTTCAACGCCCAAATTCAATCGCAGATCCTTTCTTCGGAAACGATTACACAATCTAACGATGAATTGGAGTTTTGAGTTTGTGGTGGAGTCAACAGACTATTAACTTAACGGAAAACCCGCTGTCTCGTATTAGGGGCTTATCTCAGAATAGGGGACTCTCCTCTGTATTTACAGGACATTATTAGGCGACACAATCGTACCTTGAATATGTTTTTGAAATAAGGACTGCACACAGAGAGAACCAGCTTGTGGGCAGCCAACAACTGCCCCTCCACGGCGATTGTCACGTCAACCAGATAATTCTCGCTCAGGTGAGAGAGAAAGCCGGACGTCAGGTTGTTGGAAAAGTTATTCCACCTCAAGGAGAATTCCTTCGGCGACAATGTCGTGGCCATATTTCTCGGCGTCCAGGAAATTAATCTACGACAGTCGTCAATACGTTACAAGATGTTCTTACGACCGACCTGCCCAAGAGAACAAGGTACAAACGACTACATTTTCGACTGCGTCAAAAGGAAGCGTTAAATAAAACGTTCGTTGTTCAACACGCGTTTAAAGAGGCGGCAACATCGCCGATTGATAATATCCTTGTGATAAATACAAGTTCGAAGGACTAGACTTGGCAGAGATGATGGAAAAATGTTAATTGTTTCACCGTTTATACGCTTGTGTAGAGGAAGGTCCCCTATTATGGGATACGCTCCTTATAGAGAGAGCGAGCAGGGCTTCTGCTAAATAGACACTATTTACTGGCTCTGTCACGAAATTCATTGCTCCCGGAGTGAAATTTGTTTAACGGCAAATTCATTGTTAGATCGTGCAATCGTTGCGGTTGAATTTGGATGTTGAAAACCTGCTGTCTCGTAATAAGGGACTTTCCTCTAAATCTCAGGTAATTGTCATTTCGAGGAGAAATGTTAGGAGCTGCACAGATAAATCCACCGTAGCCTGAATATCCCGATTGTTTGGGAAATCGCGAGTTTCGTCGTCGGACGCGAGCGACAGAACTTCGCTACCTGTTTAAACAAAAATGTGACTCGGTGTCGTAAACGATCGTGAACGCGGACGCACCTATTTCACGGATAGCTGTCAAACATCTCCGTCACGAAGGAGGATACGTGGAGGAGGGGGGGAGATAGGTGGTGGTCGCCTAGATTCCCCATAACTTGGAGCAACTTCATTTTTCTCTCGCGTCGATCTTCATCATTGGTCGAAATCTTCGGGGCTTCGGTCGGTCACGAAGTTGGCCGCGAACGCGATCTCGTGCGCGACGTCTAGCTATTCATGCATTCGTGACTCGCAGCTTCCGGCCGCGTGTGGTCTCATATCCAAATTCGACGTCCGCGAATGGAGAAATTGACGACAATTAACATTATCCACGATGCCCGAATCGCCGGGTCGCGTTTTAACAACGAGTAAACAAAGGTGGCCAGCCTTGACGAGCGCGAAAGTTAACGGAGCAATATATATACTTTGAACTTCAGGATGTTAACAGTTGAAGTATAGACCCGCGGGCGCGTTTCGGTACACGGTGCTTTTATCGGCGCGAGTTGAAACTTAAATATAGCTTCATATCGATCTTGACTCCGAACGTGTCCGCCACGTGTCCAACTTTACACGGACAAAGTATTGATTTCCTTTTTCTCAATTCTCTTCCATTTAAATCCTCCGTTTCCCGCTCCGCTAGCGTATACATACGTCGCCTCGGCCTGGCGTTCTTGAAAAATATACTCGGTATCTGCAAGTTGAAAAATTGTGAAATCAGAAAGTTAAAACCTTCAAACACTTTTTATTTTAGATTAGCACAATCGGCCGCGCTTCAAGAACGCTCTTCGAGAAGAAAGTTCGGTAAATTGGAGAAAGCTTGGACCGACCTAAATTCTTCGGCCTAAATTAACGCGACACCTGCTGGTGCACCATCGGCTGATCTCAGTAATGGATTGTTTAATTAGCTGGTGGGCCGTTAGGCAGCCATTGTCTCAATTAACCCAGATAGCACAGGACACTTCTATGAACAATTGACGAATATTCTTCAAGAATATTTGGAATATTCCACAGGTCATTCTTATATATTTATCTTATGCTCGTAGAATATTCGATTGGCACTGCTATAAATATTTTTTCAATGTGAATAGAATAATCTATCGAATACAGCGTGTCGGTTATACGTATATGGTATGATTTCAGGTTTCACACACGACGAGTGTGTTACACAATAAACAACGTGCAATGCATAAACTCGATGAATATTCGAAAATTATTCTGAACAAATATTCCAAAGACATCCTCGACGAATGTTCAAAAAAAATGTCAGAAAAATGCTAAAATTTTTACATATAATTTGATTAGTAAGATTTTTACATATAATTACAATTTGTTTATCGATTTGAATATGTGATTTTGCTGACGGTAATAATTTTACTTGTAAGAAAACTGCGTTATGTACGAAAAAGAAATCGGCGCGCAGAACAAAGAATCGGAAAGAAACGGTATATACATTTACATTTTTAAATATAAGAATTACATGTTGGGCTACTTACATCTTGCCTCGTGGCCCACATTGAGCGTTTACCCATATATTGTCTAATTTTAGTTAGGGGTCCTACTTTAAGTTTATTACTGTTCTAAAAACGTTCTTCTTAGTTATGAATATACACGATTTCTAATTGCAATAATCTATGTATACTTGTAGAATATTCGATTCGAATATTCTGAGATTAAGAATATTATGCACTCCAGAATAATATTCATAGAACTATGTGTGCTATCTGGGAAATAGCGGAAAGTGGCATTTTTTCCCGAATAGCCAAATCTCTTCTATAAATTTAAATTGTAGAATGTCAGCAGAGATGATTTGACAGAGATGACAAACAAGTTGCCCAATGTATTTGAAACATGCTAATCTATCATATCGCTGTCTTTTACAGAAACGCTAGTAATGACCGAGAAATAATGGCCTAGTTTACATCGTGCACTTGATACGCGTATCAAATAGTGTATTTAAACTGATCAGCCAATGACCAAACGAATTTACTAGTTATTTACTATTTGTTACTATTTGATACGCGTATCAAGTGCACGATGTAAACTAGGACCGGTATTCATAGTCAAATCTTATATTCAAGACCGTCTTAAGATCATCTCTAGATACTCCGCAACCAATCAAATGTTCCATACAGCATCTTTAGATAAATTCAAGACGGTCTTGAATATAAGATCCGACTATGAATACCGGTCTAGGTCACTGAGAGGAGCTGCCAAGAACAGAGAAATCACCGATGGAAAGGGTAAAGTCCCATGCCACGTTGAAATTTTCAGCGTACCAAGTCCTCATTCGGTAATTTGATCGCGTGCGTCAAGCTGGTAGTCGTCAAGGCTCTCTATCTTTTGTTACTAATCGCTACTCTGTAAATCATTGTATATAACTGTCGGGCGTTAGATCGACAATCAGTTGGAAAGGGGATAAACGACGAGGATGGCCGAGGAATCCCCGAAGTACGAACTTCTACCGGAAGAGAAGACGAGAGAAATGCTGAAACTTTTTAAGGGCGAAAGAACTGGTTTTGTGCTTGTGGGTCCAAAAAAGTTTTTCTTCCCGTTCAGATATACCGAACAAGGTGACGGCTTCTACAATTTTGAAGCCCGGCCGGAAGATACGTGGCTCTTATCACATCCGAGATCAGGTATTGGTTTGATGATGAGTCGAAAGCTGCAATAGCGACTTTCTGATACGCGGATATTTCTAGTGTTGCAATTAATATTCTAAATTCGAACGATAAAAACGAAGATACATCATGAAGATTTGTAATCAGGCTTGTCTCTTAATTAACGTCTCAATTTTTCCGGCGTCTGTCAATTAATGTTCTTATTACTTTTTAATCGTTTTCCACCTCAGTTTTTTTTCAGAATCATCTAACTTGGATAATTTTTAAAATTATTTTTAAGTATCTCTCTTAATCAAATCTAAACTAATCTCTTCTAATTCTTTTTATTTAAATCTTGTCGAATTTCATTTGCGATCGTTCTAATGCGATTGAAATAAACTGTCTTTTTTCTGATGCGCTTTTTCTACATTGAAATACATTGTTGTCGTAATTTTTGTTATTTTTATTAAATTTTAGGAACAACCATGACACAAGAGCTTATCTGGCTGTTGGCCAACGACTTGAACTTTGACTTAGCGAGAAAACGTTTGCTCACGGAGAGATTTCCCTTTCTCGAGTTAGTATTGAAATAGAAATAAAAGTACAAATACATTTATTTCTACGTCTTCCAGCGAATATACATAAAATTGTTTTTTTTTAAGTCAACGTTTATTTAGTTTGCAACATTTAGAACAATTTCCTGTATTGTTTATCGCTCACATTGCATGTTGAACAAGATTACGCGATATTATATTATGTATTGCATATGCTCTCTGTATATTTATACTATATTTATATTGTTCTATTAACTTGAAGCATATCCATAATTGTGCATTGTAATTTTAGCCTTTATCAATTTTAGGTGTTAAGTTTTACAATTTTTTATCAAGTTGTATCTCTATTCTTTTCAGATTTAGCTTATTCAATCATCCCGAGGTTACTCAAGAATTTTTATTAATGAATAAGGATGATATTACGAAGCAGCAGCTATGCCTAGAAATTGCCAAGCCTGGTTACGAAGTTAATGCCAGGATACCGTCGCCGAGATTCATAAAAAGCCATTTTCCTTTCAGTATGCTACCTGGACTGTTAGATGTTGGTTGTAAGGTAATGACTGAAGAAAAATGAGAAATTAATGAATGTAATAAATTCTTCGCTTTACTTTCTTCGAAGGTCGTCTACGTTGCTCGCAATCCGAAAGACGTCGCAACCAGCTGGTATCATCTTAATTGCGCAACAAAGACGCAAGGATACATCGGCGATTTTGCTACCTTCTGGGACTATTTTCAAAATGGTTTAAGTAAGTAGAAGATATCCAGGGAAAGCCATGTATGTTTCTTATTTTATCATAGATACATATTTATGTTATGTAAAATTTACACAATGTTTTTTGTCTAACAAGTCTTATGTAGACAATTGGTCTGTACATAAGCGATTTTAAAGAGTTGAATATAAGGTAAAATTTGAAAAATTTATATAAGGATTTTAGAAATAGTTAAATATGACCACGAAGTTAAAAGTTCATAAAAAGTCTTCACATCTTTACCATTTATTCCTCCAGCGCCTTGGAGTCCATATTGGGAACATCTAAAGGAAGCGTGGGCCTTCAGGAATTCGAAAAATCTCCTGTTTATGTTTTACGAGGAGATGATATACGTAAGTTTGAGTAATCTTATTTTTCTTCTCAATGTATCACCTGTATATTTTCAACACATATTCAACATAATATTTTACTAAACAATTATTTTATCAAAATTTTTTAATGTAATTTGTTGTGTGAAATTAATTTTTTTATTTTCCTTTCTTTATTTTTGTCTAAATTATTTAGTGTATAGAATGTTAAAAGAATATTTTATAATATACTTTAACATATTTTAGATGATAAATATAATACAATAAATGTAGAAAACCAATTTTCTACATTGGTTAATCAGCTACTGGCGTTAAATAATATAATAATGATTATAATTGTCTTTAAATATTTAAATTCTAAATTGAACTTATATACATTAGTTAAATAATAATTTATTTGTCAAGTAATTTTCTTTATTGCTTGCGCTTTTAATTTTTATATGATGCATGTGTTAGAGAAAATTGAGTTTTCAGGATTTACCGAAAGCAATTAAGAGGATAGCGAAGTTTTTGGGTAAAACGTATACCGACGAACAAATTAGCAAAGTGGCTAACCATCTGGACATAAAAAATTTCCGGAATAACCCAATGGTCAATTATTCTGAGTTGATAGCTTGTGGCATCATCGACGACGAAATGTTCGTAAGAAAAGGAATCAATGGCGATTGGAAAAACACTTTTACTCCAGAAATTAACGCCAAAGCAGAGAGATGGATTGAAGAAAATCTCAGAGATACCGATCTGCGTTTCCCGATTTTCAACAATAACTAACAACAATTGAAAAATCGTCAAAATATCGAAAAGGTCTTAAGCTTTCAGTAAAGCTTGATTTTTAATGAATATATATATATTTTACGCATAAAAAGGAATGTAATCAAAGTAATTAATTATTATGTAAGCTTGTAAGAATTAGCAGTTATTCCTAGTGTTACTGCACAGAATACCGATATTAAATGTTGTTTAGATAAAATTAAGCCAATATAATAACCATTACAGTTATAATTACAATCCTTTTTAGCAAAATATAATCGTCAGATCATTTGGCCAAAGTGATAATTTTGTAATGGACTATGAAAATATATCACAATAATAAATATTTCATAGATTTTATGTCTACAGCGGAAAACAATGTTGACGGATCGTTTCGCAGAATTACCGCAAACTTTCGTTTATAAGTTCGTTTTAGGTGACTTAGAATTACTCCAGATGTCTTAGAATTTGCGTAAAATTACAATAGAATTGTATGTATGCGTGTATAATTAAGTATACATGTGTATATATATACCAAATATATATCTCGCTATTTTCTTAAATTTATATAAATTGTATGATTATGTACGGGCGACCAATGGCACCCTTTTTAATCATTAGATACTTTATTGATACGTGTGCGTTTGTTGCGCACGTGCGAAAAGCCCCTCACAATACCGTTGCGCGGGCAACGCAAACGATTTCTAAACGTGGAGGATCGTGAAGGATGTCGACAGTGAGACGGCCTGGAAGTCCTGGAACCAACCGATTTATTAAAGAAGAGAAAGAATCTCAAGCGTATTCTAGATTCGCGCGGCTGCGAAGCCTCGACATCCGCACGTTAGGCTCGAAACCAAGGCGTAAAACGGGATGCATAGCACAGTCAGCGCGTTGCGCGAAGCCATTGAGCCCGGCGTGATAACGCGGAGTATGCTCGTTTCTTTGGCGATCGACCAGGGACCGAAGAAAGAAGGCGGCCGACTCTTTCTCCAAGACGGAATCGAGTTGGATAAATTAGAAGAGATTCGCATCGAGTTCCTCAGTAGGCAGTAGTCGTACACACATATCTAATCGCTAAACAGCGTTGAGAGTGTATATACCAACGAGCTGATTAAATTGCGATACTCATAGTCCGATTTTATATTAAAAGTTGGCTCAACCATAGTCTTGAAATATTACACGGTCATCTCATTGAAGTCTCAAGATCTAAGTCAGACTCACAAAATGTTCTTAAGTGTAAGATTGGATTATGAATATCGTATAGATATCAATTTAATAATATGAGATTTCCAACTTCGGCATAAGACTATGTTTCAAGATTGAATAGTAATCGCTAGTAATAAACTCACAAAAAAATTGAAGACCGAAAACATCGATATTTATTTATTCCGTATCGGTCGTCAAACTGATTTTAATATTCTAATTTTCTTCACGTGTTACGTTGCAGAGATCTTGAACATTGATCATCTCTGGCTGTTGAAAAGCCTGGTCAAACTGTCGCTGTCTCATAACATTATCGAGAGAATCGAGAATCTGGATGAGCTCTGCCACCTGAGGGAACTGGACCTCTCGTTTAATCGCATCAAGATTATGGAAAACTTGGACAATCTACGTCAATTGGAGATCCTGCTTCTGTACAGCAACGAGATTTCGATTGTGCAGGGTATAAGTGACTTGAGGAATTTGACCATTTTGAACATCGGCAAAAATAGGATCCATGACTGGAAGCATGTGCGCATAATTCGTATCTTGCCCTTCTTTAGTATTCATAATCCAATCTTATATTTAAAATGGTTTCGAGTATCTGGTGTTAAGGTAATCTTTCTAAGATCTCATTCAGTCAATGAGACAACTGTATGGCATCTCGAGATCGTACTTAAGATAATATTAAATATAAGATTGAATACACAAATCCCCGTTATCATTCATAAGAATTTCGTTTACACAGGTTGAATATCTACGTGACTTCAAGTCGCTGAAAAGTTTGAACATGTGCGACAATCCTTGCACGGAGACGGAAGGATACTTGGACTGTCTGTTCGCATTTGTGCCCCAGTTAATTTATTATCAATATAGAATGATATCCGAGAGCGATCGTCAATCCGCCATCGATAAGCATTAGTGATTATTAATTTTACCATAGTGAAGTAAAGAAAAATCCTTCAAATATTTTATATCGCAAATGAATAATTATGACGTGTCATTTCTGCAGTCGTGTAATTAGCAATCTCGAAGAAAACGAGGCAAAGATGCGAACGGAATTGGCGTTGCAGCGAGAACTTGAAGAAAAGACTGCACTACTGTCTGCGTCATACGTGGAACACCTTGATGAAGATTATCTATTCCAACAAATGTTCTCTTCCGATGAAGGTAGGTTTCTGTTATCTCCCACTGCTGTCTGCATATATGTAACTTATTTAAATCGTTATCGATGCAAAAATAGCAGGCAGAACGTTGTCCACAATAAACGAAACTACACAGAATGCGTTCGAGGAGTACAAAAAGTCTTTCGTTGCAATATGCCATGAATTATACGAACTGGGTTTACGAGAGAATGATAGCAGAACGGAGGATATAAGATTGTTTGAAGTTGCTGTTAACGAGGGCAAGGAAAATACGCAAAATGAAGCAAGAAGGTGAATAAGAAAATTACAAGAGTAGGAGCCCGCTTTTAAAATTGCAATTACTGATTTTGACTCGCGAGTCTGTTTTAATTATAATATTAATATGCAACAAGTATATGACACCCATAACGCCTTTCTTTGCTTTACTGCGTAAGGTACGTGGATGAGATACTTGAAAATAAGACGAAGATATTTGCGAATATAAAAAAGGAACTGGAAGCTTTAATGGAGAAGCAAGAGGAAGAAGTCGAGAACACCGCCGCGAGAGCAAGGGAATTATTTAATGAATTCAATGACTTATTGTCCAAGGCACGAAATCAATTGATATCTAAGGAAATTGTATTACATGATCAAATCGAGGTATATTGACAATTATGACATTAATAATAAAAGATAAGCGTAAGATTAGTCAGATTCATAGGGCGATTTGTTTTTTGTAAAAAAAAAACAAGGATATAAACCAGGTGTTCAGGACCAATATGACAGATATGGTCAGCTCCTTCCTGGAAACCGCACGAGGACACTTCTCCACGTTACGAAAAGCAGAGATTGAATATAACGATGTTATAAATCAGTTAGTTTCACATTATCTAGGCGGTTTGGAGGACGAAGCATGCATACCATTTCATCTTAAGAATTTATGCTGCGATAAGGATACTTTGGCCACCACTCTTGCCACCTCGCACGAGATGCACTTACAAGTAAACATTGGAAGCCCGAAAGTTTCTTGAAACAAATAGCAATGATAATTTATAAATGTAATCTACAGGTGATAGACGATCGAGAGAAGCGCATGACAAATCGGCTCGACAATTGGCTCGAGGACTACGTTAACCAGTTAATCGCGTAAGTGTAACTATTATTTTCGACGAAGTTTAGCTCGTTTACATTTTGTAGAAAAATTGACGGGAAAATTTCTCATGGACAGGGACGAGAATAAAAGGAATCGTCAGCAGATATTGGAAATATCGCACTTTTTTGAATACCTGCAGCAACAACTTAATGTATTGAGCTTGCCGCAACAGTTAGATCTGGCGGACATTGATCTGGGCGACGAAGGTATATTGGAAAATTAATCCGCCACAGCGTGTTCTCGCCCCTTTTGACGGCGCGGAACAAAATTCAGGGAGCAGAGTGAAGTGAGTGTCACATTTGTTAACGCAGTATGAAAATATATATTCTAGTACAAAATATAATACATATATAAAATAAGACGTATACAAAACCTTGATCCGCAAGAGCGGTAAAACGGGAATACCGTCTTCCCCAGATCACTATTGCTTCTGCTTCAAAGCTTCAACGTACAGTTTTAAACCGGCTTGTACTTTCGGTAATAGAATATAGGTCACGAATTTCTCGACGTCGGCCTCCTTGTTTTTCTTCATCCACTGAATCAAGTTCTCTCGTAACTCCAACTTGGTAGCAGCCCTTCCCAGACCTTTATCGACAACGACACGTGATTAGCGTGCGCCGGCAAAATGTAAATAACAGCACGGCATTCCTACCTGGTATATTGTCGTAAAATAATATGTAATTCTTGCACTTTTCGATCGCGCTCGCTTTGTCTTTAGCGAGCTCGTCCACGAGTCCGAGCTGCAACGCTCTCTCAGGTTTGAACAGCGATCCTCTGAAACGAGCACTCGGTTATGACATTCAGTTAAAGTGAAACTTCACTTTAACTTGAAGTAAAACAGTTTCAGCAAAACTTCACTTTATTACTCCAGATATAACACAGAGGTGTTGACTCGCGCTCCTTCCTACAGCGGTCTTTTTAGCTATATTCTTCGCCTAATCTCCCCTTTTCCCCGCGCATGTACCGATCCCGTCTACACGGGGTGTCTAAACATTTCGGTGCGCCACACGTGCTTGTTAAATATCTTACCTTAAAAGCGATATCTCGGCTTGTCGGTAGCCTATCGTCGAGACATACATATCCCGGAACCATTTCGGGGCGACGATACCCAATTGCGTTTCGTTCAATCCTATGGTGTGTTTACCTTCAACCATGACTCTATATTCCGTAGATATCGCCAGCAGACAGCCTCCGGCAGGACTGGAGCCCTGTGCAGAGCAGTGCTCCCGTTAAATATCGCGGAGACACGCTACGCGGCGTACGGTAGTAACGCTCGAGAGATTCTGTACATTGATAACAGTAGCGACCGGTATGGTCAGGCTGTAAATAGTCAGCCAGGTGTCCTGTAACGCTTGCCAGAAGTCACTGAGCTTCTTTTTGTCAGTCGTACACATCTCCATGATGTCCAGTCCCGCGCTGAACACGGTCGGCAAGGACGACGTCAATATGACGCCCCTGCTGCGGCTGTTCTGCGCCTCCAGCAAGGATGCCTTCAGCTCGCCCAGCAGCCCCGTGTTCAAACTGTTCACGGGTTTTCTCGCCATGGATATGATCTCGATCCCTGTCGAAACGTCGGGGATGAAACTCCGCGGCGAGAACGGCCGCGCGTTACGAGCCGGAGCGTGGAAATGCGGCGGTTCTTACCCGCGTCGTCTCGTGTGGTTTCAATGTACTTGGTGGCCGTGGCGTAGGATCTTCGGAGACACGCCTGCCCGCCGGCGATCAGTGCCTTTAACACAGTCATGGCGCCTCAGGTGTCAGTCTTCCTCGTAGCAAGCGGATATTGACAATTGACAGACTCTGCAATGAATATAACGAATAAAACGAATGTCCGTTCTACTCGCGAGTAAGCTGCACGACTACAATTAAACCCCTGGTAACACAATCCGACAGTTCTGATACGACACGCAGAGGTGCGCGAGAAACAGCCGAAAATTGCGACAGAAGTGCATAATATCTGGTATTGACAAGTTACTATTGCAGCAGTTATTGCAGAAGCTACTGTAAAACTTTATACTATTTGCTAAAAGTAGACACGCAGCAGAAGTGTGAAAACAATACTGAAGTAGCTGCCCGACAGAAAAATAACAGCAAGTCGCGTTAAACTCTTCGTGCAACAGAAAGATAGTCAAAGTTGAAGATAGAAAACGCACGATCTGCCCGAAAGTTAATGCACGATTTTTCCTACAGTTTCACAGCTGAATTGCAGGTGGAAATGTTACCAGGGACGTGTGCCATAAGCCAGAAAAATGGAACAAATAATAATGGAGAGGTCAACGCGCGTTATTGACCGAGTTACGTAAAAGGATCCAAAGGTCGGAATACGCGAGCGCAATGAAGTCCGATTAAAATTATTCTGTTACTTAAGTTTAACGCGAGAAGGTCAAAATGGCCAAGATGCGAGGGAAAATAACGACGATGCGCCAAATATAGCTCCGACTAGTTTATATAAATTACATTTTATTTTAAACCCCGACGTCTTCGCTTCGACTTGGACCGCTGACCCTGCGTGACTCGTGTAAGCGTTGACCTCTCCGGTGAATCGACGGAATTGAATTAATGCGAACAGCTTATAAGCGAAAGTCGGCCGAGTTATTAGTCGCGTCCCCTGCCGCGACTGACGGCGGCAGATGATGTGCGAGAGACCGTACGTGACGAGGGGACGGAATTCGGAGTCGCGCGGAGGCTGTACAGTTATCGCAACTGTCAAGCGGACCCGGGGATAATCGGAGAGCCGTGACATTATCGACCCTGATCGCCTGGCGCGACGGGACTTTCTAATCCGCGGCGTAAAACGGTGGCGTTTACTTGCAAAATTCATCCTGCAGCCGATCAACGATACTTACGCGCCTCTCCGCGCCACCCCGTTCGGCTACGTGTCACGATGTTGACTGATGTTGACTGGTCGGTCTCCCTCGATGTCCCTCGGCCACTGCCGTTCTCACTTGGACTCCTCCGGGTCCCCCGAGAGGGCGTGACGCGACGCAACGACGGATCGAGCCGGTGGCGATTCCACACACAATCAGTAGCGTCTCGCGCTCCGGCGTCAAGTCCGGGGGGGCCGATCATCGGTGACCGTCGCGCAGGCCAATCGCGGACAGGTGCCAACATGGCCGCTACTGTGCTGCCTGCTCGTCTTCTCGCGACATCGCCCTTTGTCCCGACGGCGCTCTCCTAAGTCGGCGCGGGGCGACGGAGGAAGCGGACCGGGAAAGCGTGCGAGGGTGAGAGAGAGAGGGACGACGGCACGTTAGATGGAACGGCGAACTTCAATGGAAGACTTCAGCTAGCAAGATGTCAACCCGGTCGCAGCTCACGAAGGATTTAAACGGTTCGTTCTCGCCTGGTCGCGAGGGTGTTTACGTCGCGCGTGACGAGTCGCGCGGCGAACTGTCATCGGCGCGCGACCGCTCGCTCGCCCGCCCGCCCGCCCGTCGCGGCCGACCCCGCTCCGCGTCTCTCGCGCTCGAGCTACGCGACTAATTAGCCTGGCCGTAGGCCTCCTCGGCGGAAGAGGAGGCCACGACCAGGCCGGTCGGGTCCTCGTGCCACTTTCCACTTGGCGCGCCGTCCCCTGCGTTAAGCACGACCGTGCGAATGATCTCGTTTACTTGCAGAATCGGTGAAAGCGCTACTTGGCAAGCATGTGAAGATACTGCTGAAGAATGTGGTGAAATTGGAAACCAAGCAGGATAAACAGGAGAATCGTGTCCTCGTGAGTAATCGCTTCCTCCTCCTCCTCCTCTTCCTCTCTCGCTCTGCCTCTTCCTTTACGCAACGGTCACTTTTGGTATCGAGCTAAACTGATTCTTTCTTGCCTTTCAGGTGTTTTCGCCATGTCGCCTCTTTCTTTTATCGGCCAAAGTACCCACGAGAGTAAGTTGAGCTTTTCCGTAATCCCCGCCCTTGCTCTTTCGCCCCATCGTCGCATGGCATTTAATTTTCAATGTTATCCCCTCCCGCAGATCGACTGCCATTTTCATTACCTAGAAATAACGGCCATAGAGTCGAGGAGGGCAAATCAGCTATGTTTGACCGTCGGAGAGCGATATTACAATTTCACTACAAACAGCGTCGGCGGGGACACCGCGGAGGTGGACGCTATGATAGAGGCCTTACACACGGCGATTCGAAATATCTTTCCTACCGTACCGTTAAAGTACGTTCCCGCTCTGTTTTTGCGACCGAGAGATGTGCCCTCGTATGCGTGACTAATGTACGCGTTGCGAAATTTCGTTCACTTTCAGTTACATTATACGAAAAATAGAGGTGATACCAGCTAGCAGACTGCAGAGCATACGCGGGAGCGAGCTGGCTAGGAGCACAGAAGCCACGAGGCACACGGGCCCGTGCGGCGGTTTCTCCACTCAGTATGCGTGCATGTGCGACTTGCACGGCGTCCCGTACAGGGAGGAAGTGGCCTGGGTGAGATAAAACGGCGTCTCGCTCGCCGTTTGCTTTAATAACGCGGAAATTATCCCCCGCCCAAGCGAGTACTTAGAGAGACGCCAATTTCAGGACGTCGATACGATATACCTTTCGCACGACACCAGAGAACTGAATCTGAGGGACTTCGATCACCTGGATCAGAAGGACTTGGTGCCAATTATCTCGGCCTTGGAGTACAATACCTGGTTCACTAAATTAAGGGCGTCCCACCTCAAGCTGAATCACGAGCCTCTCGAGAGACTGTTGCACATCATGCGACGATCCCTGTCCATTCAGGAGCTTTATTTGGATAATCTCGGAATTAAATGGTAGTGGTTTATGTCATGCTTGCATATACTTATTACACGGAGGAAGTATTTAATGCGTACTTACAACGTACACTCGGTTTTAAAGGGATTTCGCTCACAAGCTGTCGTTAGCCTTGATCTCTAACGCTAACACGATGCTGCAAACGATAGATCTGTCGCACAATATGATCGAGGACAAAGGTATATTGATTGATTTCAATGATTTATTCAGTGTCCCTTTCGTAACTTGATATCTTCATCTGCACTACACCCACTGAACAATCTCCCATTTTCCAATTGTTAACCATGATGTTAAAAGTATCCTGAATAGATTTTTTTAAATATTTTTTGTAGGAGCCTCTAGCTTGTGTGGGATAATAGCCAAGTTAATGCAAGGTGTGCCAATAACCATGTATCTTAATTATGCCTAGTAATTAGACTAATATATGACGTACTTTTCCTTCTCTTAAAATGTGCACTTTTGTTTTACATTCTCTTAGAGAGACTTTCGGTATATTTATCCTTTTATTTTCTTCGTTATTTTGAGCAATGTATCGTTCCAGACATTTCATTTGTACGTAAGCGTTGCATTAATATGTAAAACAGTATTTGATCGAAAGCTTCTGTTATCTTTATTATTACGCGCCGTTCTAAGTTTGTGATATACTTTCAAGGTGGTACTCATCTGAGCGGCCCTATCGGCAAGTTGCCTAAAGGTTTACAAAAATTGAGTCTGGCTCACTGCGGATTAACCGGGAAGGGTATAAGCCAGATAGCGCATGCACTAAGCTTGAACAGAAGCATGCCGACCAGTTTGCGATATCTCAATCTCTCGGAGAACACCTTGAAGGACGACGTCAATGTGAGTCCGTAATGAATTGCAGATCTATCTCGGCGTTAAGTTACAGGGACCTCTTCAGTCCTAATTCATATATTTAATGGTTGCAGAATCTGTGCAATTTCTTGGCGCAACCTAATAGCTTAACACACCTAGATCTTAGCGGTACAGATACAACTTTAGAATGTGTAAGTAACTGATCTTGCATTGTCCTCCATTTAAACATCGGCGCTCGGCCGATACGACTTACATTGCCCACTGCGACTTGCGATTCTAGTTGTTCGGAGCATTACTACGGGGTTGTGCAACTAATCTAGTCCACCTGAACGTTGCCCGGAATTCTTTTTCGAGCAAGAAGACCAAAGAAATACCTCCGAGTTTTAAGCAGTTTTTCACGGCGACCCTCTCGTTAAAGTACTTAAATATATCTTCGTGCAAACTACCGTTGGAGGCATTAAAGCACCTGCTGCTCGGTCTGGCGTGCAACGAAAGTACAGTTGGCCTAGAGCTTGACATGAGCGGAAACAACCTGGGTTCCATGGGCGCACACGTTCTGGAATCGTGTATTCATGGAGTTCGGTGTATCGCGTCGTTGGATATATCGGACAGCAGTACGTATAGTCGACTCGATATTACTCATCTGGGGTCGACAAAAAATATTCAAAACGCATAGATACAAAGTCAGTCTTTTTATTCGCAGACATGGACGTCGATCTGGCTCAAGTTATAACGGCGGTGGGCAAGAACAAATCGATAAAGCAGCTCTATATGGGACGTAATACGACCGGTATGAAGAGCAAGCACATAGCCGTCGTGATGGACGCCCTGGTGCAAATGCTTCAGGAGGACGACTGCGTCCTTCAGGCGTTGCACCTACCTGACTCTCGATTGAAGGGAGATCTCTACAACCTGATCAACGCTCTCGGTAGCAACACGTGTCTTCACACCCTGGATATCAGCGGCAATCAGATAGGCGATCCTGGCGCGAGGCTGCTGGCGAAGGCATTGCAGATCAATAATCATTTACGGACTATCATATATGACAAGAACAACATCACGTTGCAAGGCTACGCGGACATCGTTCACGCTCTAGAAAAGTATGCACGCGTGGTGTAAGTCGGGAGCAAAAGGGAATACAATAAATTGACGAAAACATTTTACTCTTGTAGAAACTGTAGCGTACGGCACATGCCGTTTCCGATTTACGATCTGCAGCCTTGCATGAAAACCTCCGCGGAAAAGACGGAGCAGTTGGCCAAGAAGATACAAGATCTGCTGCAGAGAAACGTCACGCCGTGCAAGTATAGCCACGGGCAAGCATTCAGGTTGCAGCAGGGATTTCTGTTGAGCTCCACGCAGCAAATGGTCGACAGACTCGTCGTTCAAACGCAGGACACCATCAAGGCCCTCGCAGCGGAGAGCTGCGACGCTAATAACGATATCAATTATGCAACCGGGCTCATACAAGACGCGGACAATTCTAAACAGGTACGACCGGCGAAAATTCGCGGAGTCCCGATTGAAGACAATCAAAGTATTCATGTTACGTCTCTTTTGCAGCTACTGCCAAGATTACACGAGGTGCTTCAAAGACGTGACGAGAATAATCCAATCGAGCTGAAGCTGCACGATATGGCGAATGAGCTACATAAAGTTATAACGGTATATCTACAGGTACGTGCGTTTACGATTTTTACGATTGCTTTCCTACTGGTTTAAGTTTAGGATAATCATTATTTTCCGAAAGATACAGCTGTGTATAATGAGTGAAAAATCTTACGACTGATGCAGGATTCTTTAGACGCGATGTTGAAGTGCGCAAATGAGCAATGTCCTACTATACTCTCGCAAACGGTGATCAGGGGCGACGAGAGCGAACCGATTGCGGTGCAAGACGATCTTCGTAATACCTGCAAGGAGAAAAACCAGATCAACAATGAATTCATTCATACCACTGTTAACGAACAGGCTGGCGCAGATATTGTTAATAGAGTCAAGTAAGAATTGCAAAGTACTCTCGATACAAACGTATCGCGATTTGTTCTCTTGAAATAATTTTAATTCCGTTCTCCCTTTCTTTAGTGAGCTCAATTTAGCAGTTGCGGCGCATATATCCGACAGAATCACGGATGAGGTAATCGAGTCGTTATCAAGAAGCTATAAAACTTTGGTAAGTTTAAAGAAAACTCTTAATAACATGTTGTATCCTAAATCCACTGGCCAACTAATATCAACGCAAAAGATCAATTCGGAAATTTAATTTTAAGCAGGGAGATTAGTTCTCTTAAACTTGAACAACGTTTTCTATCGATATTCATTAATTTATTGGCTCACAAAAATGTATAGCTTATACTTGGAATAGAATCTGAAGTTTCAATACGAGTCTCTAAACGAATAAATTATTAATTTTGAAGTGAAATGCTTACAGTTGATCTTTCCTTATTGACGATACTTTGACAGTCTTGTAACAAGCTAATATAATGTTCCCAGATTGGCGATGACAGCCGAACAAGAAGCAGCACACCAGATGTTTTACGACCTAGCGCCGGCTCGATGAGCAGCGGAAGCGTGATAGGCGTGACTAGCGCGAGCGGCATCTCCATGACTTTACCTCCTGGCAGAGCCAGCCTCGCATCCGAGGAGGAAGACTGTCCGCCGGAGACGTGCTCGCTGGCAGATTCCATTGGCCAATGCGACCCATCACCGATGGTAAGAATTTCGAATCCTTTAAAATACCTTATTGTCGAATAATTGGACAGTTCTATAAGACACGTACAAATTATTTATACCGTGTATAAATATTTCCGCCTGAATTTGCTTGCAGCTAAAATGTACATTATTTTCATTTACACGCTTACATAGAAATTGGATTATCTCAATCTGGTAGGTATTACAGATATATATATATATCGAGATACAGAGCTGTGTAAAATGTCCCACGATTATATTGTGAATGGCGATCGTAGATCTTTGACACGATATCTTTTGGTACCTTTTCATTTAGGCGACGCCGCATCTGTCGAACAAGCGTAAAAGTCTGCACGGAAGGAAATTGAGACCCAAGTCCGTGGTGGATTCGGTGGAAGGATTGTCCGCCGATGATATACCGGATCTCTTGCCGTCGTTGCCGAAGAGTCAAGCGGAAGGTTCGTATTTATCGCTCTGTCGTAAGGCTGCCAGGTTGCACAGTGTGATTGGTGTTCTGCAGCCATCTCGGAAACCGAGCACTCGTTGACAGAGTCGTTGGATTCCGTCTCGGAACTGCCCAACACCGTGGGCCAGCAGTTGCAGCATCTGGTCAAGTCTCGACCGCGCAGAACGAAGACGCGAGCGCCCACGAGGCCGATGCTGAGACCGGATCAACAGACCGACGGTCTCGCTCTGGGCGAGGGCCTCGACGTGTTTTTCCGACCTACTACGCCTACCACGCCTTTGATATCGCCTACGAGCGACGACAGGTAAAAATAATTTTGCATTCCTGTATAAAGTATTTTATTTTTGGCGGAGAGCACGCTTCTTTAGTTTCCCTATCGTTTGAACAACTAAGCTGTCTAGCGTAACGCTTACAGCTCTCTACACACCTTCCCAACGGACGGCAGTCCTAATCTATCGCTGACGAGCCATAAGAGCATTCCACCCGACGTGGAGAAGAAGCCCAACTGCAATTCGCCGATGCTGAAGACGCTCCTGGAGCCCGCGCCGCGCTCACGATCCAGCGACAACTTGGAAAAATTCTCGCCCCTCGTCGGTAGAAGGTCGCAGGGTGACTCGCCGCTTACGGCGTCGCCGCTCGCCCGCAGGAACACCACGGACAGCGCTCAAGCCCACGAGAGATCGAAAGGCGAGACTTTCGCGAAGGAGACCTGTAACAGCCCCGGCGGGAATGACGCGAGCGACGATTCTAAGCGCAGCACGCTAACAAACGTGTCCGGCGTGAGCCCGCGTGGCTCGCACGACATCGACGACACATTCGGCGCGAGCACTTCGGATAAGTCTTCCTCGTCCGTCAAGCTACGGTCGACCGGACACGATCTACGAAGTCCGATAAACAGTAACAGCAGCCAAGTCACCAAGGGCACATCCGATTCGGCCAAGTCTCCTGTGCTGAAACCGTTAAAGAGTAGCGGGTCTACGAGCGACGGGAAGAGCAACGGCTCGCTTATGAAGAATAAGCCCACCCCACCGGCGACGGCGCCTAAACCGCGACCATGGAGCATGGCCACCGATCGGAAATCCGGTAATGGACATTCGGTACTGGCGCTCGGACTTTGAAAGACGCGTGGTAGCATAATTAATAGCACTGTCCGACACATCATTGTTTATAGAGAAATTGTAGAACCTCGAGAAGACACGTTTGACGTACAAAACTGTCCGTAGGAAAGCCAGTCTAGTAAAGAAAAGAGATGATAGATTGATAGAAAACCCTGACTTCACTTAATTCTACAGGAGAATTTAGCCTGCTGAGCGACGGCTCTAGTCCGAACACCTCGGCTGGCAACACGCCCGATTCCGGCGACGCGCTCGACGAGTCGACCGACAGCGGCGTCAGCGGACCGGCCTCCTTGCCGCCGACGCTATCGGCGAGCAGCACCGCGAGCTCGTTGAGCAACACGAGCGTGGAGAAGAGATCGGTGAGGGAATTGGCAGCGAGCCTGAACAAGAGCAAGACGGACAGGAAGGAGAACGGTGAGTGCCGTTCCGCGATGTACCCGTTTCTCTGTGTCGCATGGTTAATTTCTTAGTTGACTCGCCGTACATTCCTCGATCCTAGACATCTCATCGACGCGCGCATCGCCTCACGCTCCTTAAACTTAGCACTAAAAACACGCATGTATATAAACCCTTTAATGTACAAGCCACGCCCGTTACCTATTATTTTAGAGCATGCCGCACCTGCAGCATGGCGGTCGCTACTCCAGCGTTCTGTCGACCGAGCAGATGCCAAGGTATTTTATGTTTATTTTATTTCTTTTTTTCCTCCGTCGAGATGTCTTTTCGTTACGGCTGAAATATTTTATTGATAACCGCTCGCACGTGTCGTTACCACAGTTCCAAGTTGGGCAGAATGTAAGCTCGTTATTGATTGATCGCCCAACGTTGACATGAACATCTTTTAATGCTTTATTAATATCATATTACTTTCTAGTTTATTCCGTCCCACGTAACGTAAGCTAAATAGTTACGAGTCTGATGAGCGAGGCTGGTGTCTCGTTAGAATTTTGTACCAACGAATAAGAGCTGTGTTGTGCTGTTTCGCAGGCAGCGGAAGTGCCGAAAGTGGTTGAGGAGAGTCGCCTCAGCTTTAAGCTTCGTCGCACGTCATTCCTGCGCGACTCAAATTTCAATTACAACAACAACGACGTGGTCGACGTTTGACGCGTGCACGGACGGACGGACGGTCAGCGTTGCGCCATAAGGAGTACCTTCTTCCGTATGCTGATGCCGGATAATCTGGCACACGAGATAACAGTACTTTTCGTCTTCGTGCCATAGAAAGTCTTATCGTGTATATAAATATATATATGCGTCTCGACTCGGTTCTAACATTAGGGACAGGGTACTGAAAGTTTTTACAACAACTAAAGTACTGATCTGCTGTTAAGGTGGTGGCATTAGAGAGTCTTACACTAGTTTTATATGATAAATGCGCCGCGTATTTACGCGCGGCCGTAAAATTCCGACTTACAATTAGTCGTACAATTACTCTCATCCGTATTATTCGTATACGCTTTACCATTTCATGTGCGAAGACCAATTATTTCTAATCGCGCGTTTCGATCTTTTTTTTTGTTTTGTTTTTAAGATACTCGACACTTCCAGTGAGATTAAGTCCCATTCCGTCGGATTCTTGGCGAGCGATATGTTACGATGACACGTGAAGATATTAGCGAAAAGTGTTCTACTCTTCGAAGAGATTCGTTTTATTATGTACATACTTACATGTTGTTTGCCTGCGCATTTCAACAGCGAGAATGTCTAGAATAGACGAGACACATTTCGAAGCGAGATAGGCTCAATCGTTTTCACTTTTGATAAAACGTTAAGGCAACTGAAGTAGGATAACACATTGCGTGAGTGTCTTCCACGATAACAAGCCGCAACAATGACATCTCGTGCATATTCTTCGTCCGTTGTAATATTTTTCCATTAAGCGCGACGTGTTTTTAACCGTGTGATTAATTTGTAGAAATAATTCAGGGTCTAATCGAAGTTACTATCGCACGCTACGTTTTGCCATAGAAAAGTGTATTAGGGGACAAACCCGTCAGCTCGGTAAATTCTAAATGGCAGCTTTTTATTGTATTTATTGTATTTATGCAGTTAATAGTTTATCGGACGATGCAATTGATCGTGCATAAAATGAGAGTTTATCTTCGGCAGATAAATTGAAGTCGTTTGCCGCACAAGTTGGTGCCCGTCTTTTTGCGGAAGTATTCCGAGTTGCGTGTCAACTTTCAGCGAAACGTGATACTCCCCCCCCTCAAATCTTTTTACTGCGAAAATTGAAATTGTGTCAACCGAATGAAGCGTTAGCAATCACTGTACTCGTAAAATTTATGCGCGCAATCGCGGGCGCGTTTTTATTGACGGAGGATGTAGAATTCTAGATATATCTCGTCGTTCAATTGACTAGGACTAACAGTACAAGATTATTTATCGAGATACTTCGCGCTGCGGACTTTCGGATTCGAACGAATCTTTTTTTGAAGGCGTTCTTTACAGGCGTTAGATCAGTACGGAATTATATAATCTCGTATCAAAGACGTACTTGCCCTTTTATATAGCGACAAACGCGTGTACATATATATGTAAAAAAAGACTTGTGTATAATAATAAGGTCCGCGGGGAATTCCACGATTCTTGCCGACCGAAGCGATGTAACGCGGGAAAAGGATCGAAACGTTTCTTGTGAATTTTTTACCGCTTAACTATCATCACGTAACATTGATATTTGATCCCTCATACGATGATACATAGGACATGTGATCGTTGATTCTTATCATGATATTATCCATTAACAATGGAGAGCGTTCTCTCTCCCTAACGTTAAGCGAAGCGAGTATTAAGGTATCGCGTTAATAAAAATTCTTGTGCGTATGTATGAGTGTGCACGCGTGCCGCAGGAGCATACTTAGGCTGTAAGACCGATAGGACGCGCGTAAGAAAGATGCGATTGTTCGACCTACATGCGCGAGAGATCGTCGTGCAGATATGCAATTGCGGATCTACATAAGACACCACTAGGAGGGAAGAGAAACATCGGTCCTAAAGCGTACCTCTTTTAATTTAACACTTGGCGGACGCCGCGAACGTGCACTCCAACTCGCATGGTCTACTAGATAAACGTAAGAAAGTCTCGTATAAATACTTAATCGTTCCGACTCGAGGGATAGGCTCTACTCGTAAGGTCGTCTTTGCGAATATTTACTTTTAGGCACGCCCGTACGGTCCCCGACGGCGGGCTCGCCGGACTCGCCCCTAGGGCAAGGGGTACTTTCAAACGCAGTCTCGTGTATTCGACTAAAAACTTACACATGTACGCGTCTTTTTCCGCGACACTTTTGTATGCGGCGCGCACGCACCGCGTGTGTGCAGACGCGATCGGCCGCGAGAGAAGGTCGAATCGTTAAAACGACCCTGCCCGACCACTGTGCCAAAAAAAAAAACAAAGAAACAAACGTCTCGTTATACAGCGATTATACAAGCGCGTCTTTTGTACGACCAGAGGGGGACTCGGTCCACCCTTTTCCACCCGCTTCTCGTCCGCCGCTCGTCGTCGTTTGCATTCGCGTCACTCGAAGGTCCGTTTACGCATATTCGTGACGTATCAGTGGCCGTGTCAGTGACGTTCGTGATATATCTGTGACGGTTAATCATCTATCTATACAGTTTGGAATCAGTGATTTTCAAGATGGCTCAAGTTTACGAGTCGGCAATAATTGTTATAACTTCAGATGAAGAAGAAACAAATAAGATTGAGCGGCCCGAATACGAGACTGTGCCGGGCGTGTGTGAACATTACAAAAATAAGAAAATAATATTTGTTATCACTGATACTGATAGAAATTCACGTCACGGATATGTGTAACTAAGCCTGAACTCGGAACAGTACGATCGCACGATGCTGTACATAATCGAGGATTCGCCCAGTAATCTCTTATTCCACGACGTTACTTACTAACCGGGGTCGCGTTACTCTCATTCGGTGTATATGTGTGTACATACATATTTATGAGGACACACACCCACACACACATATATGATGTATAAAGGGAGCGAAGGGAAGAATCAGGTGCGTGTGCGTGACGTGTGTAATGTAGTGTGTGATATGTCGTATATTTAAAATCTTCCCCGATACACACATTCCTGTATGCATTACACGATACATTTCTATATACATGCGAGCGCGAGAAAGAGGGAAAAAGAAGTGAAGATTTACGCGAGACGAAATATATTGTGACTATTAATGTCTCTGCCCGCGCATCTCCTCGACGTTGTCGCGCCCGCTCGAACGGGAATCGAGCGGCTCAAGAGCGATGTTAACATTTGCAATCTATTTTGCCGAACAGCTTGATAGAAGCGCGACATTAATCCGTTAATGAATAAAAATAAAGAACTCGTAACCGCACATACGTGGAAGCCCGAGTGACTTTCATTTCCCATCTCGCTTTAGAATCTGTCTTCTCCAAATCCAGAACGTTACGCATAGCTGGTACGAAGTATGACAGCAATTATTTATTATAGTAATAAATTATTATAGCTATAAATATTATAGTGATAAATATAGGGCGAAAGTATTACGTATTTAAAAGAATGTAGTAATTAATAAATAACAATAAAATGGATAGCTCGTGATGTCTCCCAAAGGAATTAATAGCACAAAAGAATGCTCCTATTAATGAATTTATTAATAAGAATTGTATTAATTATTTATTAATATAATTATTAACAATCACTGACACAACATTGATAAATAATTAATATTTCATTAAGAAATTTATAAATAGGAACATTCTTTTACACTATTAATTGCTTTACGCTTTTTGATTATGCTGTTTATTGCTTGTTACATGTTCTTAATAATGATTTCGTAAACGAGGTCGTGTCCAGCACTCAAAAGGTTACAAGAAATGATTACCGTCGTTCTTGTGCTCTCGCAAAAGTATTTTCATATCAAACAAAATTTATAGATAACGAACGATATACGGGTATGGTTAACAAAATAATTATAAACGAAAGATAAAAATTGAGTTTTCGTGGAAACAACGGAATAATTTGAATTAATGATAATTGCACATAAATTACTATTAAAATGTAACAATCAACATAGAATCATTAAAATTATAAATTTTAAAAGATTCTAATATCAGATATAAAATTTAATAATTAAATGAAAAGAGAATTTTGCTCAACAATGACAGTGCCCTCTGTGCTGACTCTCTCTCTCTCTCTCTCTCTCTCTCTCTCTCTCTCTCTCTCTCTCTCTCGCGCGCGCGCTTGTTCGCCCGCAGTCTGCAGTGTTCCCAGTCTTTCCACCAGTGCACCGCTCGCTAATTGGTGGCGACAAGACCGGTGGGAGCAGGTGGAGGAGTGCGGGTCACACACTCGCCCCGGATACACGTTGCACGCGCGTTGACGCGGCGATGCTCGCGTAATCGCGGCGCAGTCGAGGTCCGTGTGTGAATTCACGTTGCGATCGCGAGCCTTCCGAAGACATTCCGAAGATGTCGCGCACGAGGACGGAGAGGAACGGAAACGGGGCCAAGTGCGAGGTTAGCGTGTGGACACGTGCGATCACCGCGAACTCCGAGTGGCCGGACAAGGTAAACATAACCCTCCCGAGTCGCGCCGCGAGGTCCTGTCCTCGGAAAAAAAAAAGAGAGGAAAAACCGATCTCTACAATATTTCCCCGTTCTTTGTCGCAGGAGGAGTTTCTCGACGTGATATACTGGGCGAGACAGGCGATCGGTATTATCGTCGGCATAGGATGGGGCCTTATACCGCTGAAAGGTTTTATAGCTCTGTTGTTGTAAGTGTATACAATCAGGCCTGGTCTACAACGAGTTGTTGGTCGTTAGACTGATGGCAGAGAACAATCCGTAAGTGCTGAAGACTGTCTTGGATGTAAGACTCGGTCTACAATGAGTTATTAGTCAGAAGTCAGAACTGTATGTCGGTTCTTTCTCTCTCGCCCGGAAAGAAAAAGGATCGACATATAGGGTCTGTTTTTTATTGCTGCACTCCTGAACTAGTGCACACTGGTGCAATGAGTTGGAATGAAAGGTAATCTATTTGTTTCATTTTAACTTATTGCACTAGTTCAGTAGTGCAGTAATAAAGAACAGGCCTATAGTTCCGACTTCTGACCGACGACTCATTGTAGACCAGGCCTAAGGCAAGGCAGAGAAAAACGTAAGTCGTGAAAGTCCCTTGTGTACGACTTGAGTTCTTCTCTGCCTCGCCATATGTCTACGACTTAAGAGTCTTAAGCGCTTACGGACTGTTCTCTGCCATCAGCTTTAGTCAGAAGTCGGAACTGTACGTCGATCCTTTTTCTTTCTGGATGAAAGAAAAAGGACCAACATACAGTTCCGACTTCTAACCAACGACAACTCATTGCAGACCAGGCCTTAGTCTCCTTTTAATCATCTTTGCTACCCAGTGAGAAATAATTCATCGAATCAACGAGACACTTCTCGCTGGATAGCATACATACAGCAGTTCAAGTCGCAGACATTCATCGCGCACGCTCTTACGTGTTTTAGATTCGTAGTAGTCAATGCGGGGATCACATATTTATACTTTAGCAGTTTCCAACAAATTGACGAGGAGGAGTACGGTGGTATGTGGGAATTGACGAAGGAGGGATTCATGACCTCGTTCGCTGGTTTTCTGGTGAGCTCGGTGTCTTTATTTCTCCCGTTTGTTTCTCTCTCTTTCTCGTTCTCTTACACTGTACGTTGTCTTGCCCGTTCACAGGTGACCTGGATTATCATATACTCGGGATTGCATTTTGACTGATTTACAAACCACGGATAAGGAGCAATAGCTTTTCCATCGCGGATCATCGCTGCTGCCAAATTCATTATACGTACGCAATAGTCATTCCCTCGCAATAGACATCGTTGTATACCGACTCCTCGTATACTGTTACATATTGTTACATACAAGTATGATTCATCTGTATAAAGAAGACCTTCTTACCTTCTCAAGTTACGCATCTTAATTCTAACCGCTCGAATCGAACTCTACGCACGTTCCGTTCACGCGTGTCTACAATCTACACACTTAATCCACGTACGAAAGCGGTTTGTAAACGCTATAAAAATATATTTGTACACTTCGTATCTTCAGGACTTGTATCTTCGAGGACGAGGCTACCGCTGCTCTAGCCTATCATCAAGCGCTTGCGTCCGCGTTCTTGCACCTGCTTGTACTTGGCGAGCACTTGCTCGTATTGCTTCTTGTTCTGATAATGCTCTTGGTAGTGATGAAAGATACGGGAGAACAATGTCGGCACTTCGGAATGCGCGCTCAGCAGCGATCGCTCGAGGACGTACAGATCGACGGCCTTGTCCTCTAGCGTGGAGTCTACTCGAGCCAGCCCGAAGTCTATCATTACGAACTGCGCCTCGGCTGTGGAGAAACGATGACATTGCGATGTACAGAGAGATAACGGATTATCTATGATGGATATAGAGAGTGCCGTATTTTTATCATAAAAAAAACTATCTTTTCGGCTCGAAGCTCTCTGAAATGTTTGGAGTAAAACTGCTGCCATGGAGTGAAATATTCACTCTGTTGGAATAAATGTTCACTCTGCTGGAGTAAATATTCACTCCAGTAGGGTGAGTATCGCAGGATATTAAAAATACCGTGGACAGCAAAAATAGCTAACACAGAAGTCCTGAGGAGAGCGGGGAGAGATCGTGAGCTGCTGAGAGTGGTGAAGAAAAGGAAGACAGCGTATCTGGGGCACGTCACGCGTGGCGAAAAAGTACCAACTCCTGCAGCTGATAATTGAAGGCAAGATAGAGGGAAGGAGAGGATTGGGACGAAAGAAAATGTCATTGCTACGTAACATCGGGCGCTGCTCCGGAATTGCGAGTGCGGGAGATCTAACACACACGGCTAGGAATAGACAAAGAATGGAGAATGTGGTCGCAAATATCCATTAATGGATGTGCATTGGAAGAAGAAGAAGGGTGAGTATTTCACTCCAAGGACTTTGGGGAGAGCAGCATCGCCGATTTTTAGACGCAGGTCAAAACGCGGAGGAATTTATTCGTTCATCTCGCATCCGCGGCTCGTACGCCAGCGTTCGCGAGGAGAATCGCCGTCTCGTTACCCTCGGACTGGTCGTCGTAGGGCGGCTCGTTCGAGTCGTTCCTGAGCAACACGTTCGACGTGGTCAGATCGCCGTGGATGATGTGCCGCGAGTGCAGCCGAGCTATCAGCGTGCCCAGCCCGCGCCCAATGAAATCCAGCAGACGATCCACGTCCGTCCTCCCCGAGATGTTCCTGCCTATGAAGTCCTTCAGCACCGTCGCGTTCTCCACGTACTCCATGTAGATGCTACGTCGCTCCATGTCCACCAGGTACAGGGCCGGCGTCGCTATCCCTTGGGAACAGAAAGGGCCAAGTTTACGTGCTACGCGAGCGAGGTCGAAGGACGCGCGCGTCCTCACCTGCGGCCTTCGCCCGAATGATCGCGCGGGCCTCGGCCCTGATGCGGTCCTTGGTGAGGCGAGCGTCCAGCTCCGGATGCCGGTAGTTTTTTAAGAATCTCTCCTTCATCAGGCACACTTTTCCCAGATACAGCCCCTTGTAGAGACGCGCCTCCGCGCCCTGCGCTATCAACTCCGAGTCTTTCATTGTCATCATCAGGGGGTGCAGTCGGGACGATATCTGGAAATGCTCCTATTCACGATAAGCCCTAGATGAGGAAGGACAGAAAACAAGAGGACTGAGTTTTAGGAGAGGGGGAGAGAGAGAGGCTTCGGGGCCTCTCCCTTGTTCGCTCGAGGGGTGAGATCCTTTTCGTGACCGCGAAGGTCGCAGGCAACGTGCATGCGCATGCCCAATCAATTGGACGCGCAAATATTGCATTCGCGCAAATGTTGCATTCGCGAGAACGGATGTGCATGCTTATCGCGATCTACGCGACGAGGCGACGCGCGAATAAACTGCCCTCGTCGGGGGCGATCTCCAGCAGGGCGTGCATCGTTATCGAGGAAAATGAAATGCGCAGCTATTTCGTCGCTGTATTTCGCCCGCCACCCGCTCGTGCGGTGAACGCAGGCGGGAGGACGAGGCGAATGAGACGTCGGTCCCTCGGCCCGTCCGATTCGCTTGCGCGAGAGGAGACGAGGCGAGACGAAACGCTAAGGGCGAGGGCGAGGCCGCGGGCGAGGGCGCGGGCGCGAGCGAGGGCGAGGACGAGGGTAGCGAGGAGGTAAGGTACTCGGGAGAGCGTGGCTGCTAGCGCTAGCGAGGCGAGGCGAGGGCGAAACGCGAATCGATCGTCACCCGCCAGCAGCGTCCTGCGCGCTAATCGCTATCCCGGCGCTAGTATTCGCCCGTACTTTGTTCTCGTCGGTCCGCCACTCGCCAGCGTCGCGGGCTTCCCCCGAACCGCCGGGGGTGGGTACGAGTTGGCGAGAGGAAGCGAAAGAAGCGGACGACGGCGACGGCGACGACGACGACGTCGAAGCGAAGGAAGCATGAGAGACGAGGTGAAGATGGACGCGAACCGGCTGATCGCCGAGGTCTACAAGCGGCCGGCGCTCTGGAACCAGAGGCACATCTCCTATCACAATCGCGAGGTGACCAACCGCGTCTGGATGGAGATCGCGGCGATATTCAATCTGCCCAGTACGTGTCTCGTTAAGACCCCAGTGTCTTCCCGCTGGTACCGCTCGCACGCACGCTCGCTCGTCCGCCGCGACGCAACGCGCGCTGCCCAGGCGCCCGCCCCGTCCTTCGCCCATGCGTCGGCCCGCTCGCGCGCGACGACTCTTCTCCTCCGGAAAGGATGAGGGCGACTCGTGCGTCGCGACGATCGTGGGCGCACCGCGACGAGCGCGACGGCGAGTCGCCAGGTCGAGGAGGGACGTGGCGCGACCGCACGTCTCTTTTTCTCTCCCTCTCTGTCAGCGATGACTCACGAGACCTCAAGGCCGCCTGGCCGAATCGGTCATCTCGGGGGGGAAAACGCGACGTTTAAAACCCTCATTTTCGTTTTAAATGGCACGCGAATATACGCGCGCGCTCCCGACAAACGGCGCTCTCTTCTGACGCCCGCGAAAACACGTGTCTACCGAGAGGAAGGAGAATTCACCCTCGGCGCTTCTGGCGGAGTCCCTTTTTAAGATTGCACCTCACGTCGAAGGTCGCGCGCTGAAAAATATCCCGATGTCACTGCTGCTCTCGCTGTAGATACTGTGACGTTAGACAACGAGCTCCGTCAAAATGACGAATTTCAAGATCCTCGTTTTAAATCGCGAAAATTATCAAGGTGCTTCTGCTGGAACTTTGCGAAATGAAAAAAAAAATTTCTCGCAATAAATTTTCTGTGTTAAAAACACGTTGCCAGTTATGGTCGATTGGGAGCTTCATTACTGTTAGTCCCCTGGTAAAAATTCCGTTAGAAACGGATAGAACATGCATTAAATTCTATCTGTTTCTGACTGTTCTACTATGCGTTTCGCGAAAACGGATAGAATTTAATGCATATTCTATCCGTTTCTAACGGAATTTTTACCAGGGTTGTGTATTTTGAGATTTATTCTGTGTTAAAATATTAACAGAGTATTAGTGCGATCATTTAACATATCCATATTAAATTAACACAAAAATTTGTGTGGACCGTTTGGGGCATGTGATAGCTGTTAAATTTAACGCAAATCTTTCAACTGTGTACAGTCGATAGATTATTCTCTTCACATTCGAAAGAAAATTACGAGTGCCAGTCGAATGTTCCACGAACATAAGATACTAAATATATAAGAATGACCTATGGAATCTTCCACATATTCTTAAAATGTTCGTAGGGGTGTCTTGTGCTATCTGGGTCCGCTACCACCTCGTCCGAGTTTGGGTGTGAGCAGAAAGATTGTCGTAACCGTTGACGATTTCGTCGTAAGACTCAAGTCGGTGTCGGAAGTCAACTCGCAATTGTCGTGGACGTATGTCGTCTCGCGTCGCGATGCAACTACGGGTCAGAGCGCACAGCAACGTAATAGCTGACGACAAAGACGCAAGCGTAAACGTGGACGGCGCACAAGCTTCGGCGTACGTCGTACTTATCTCCAATTACATACGACGTTAATTTTACGCCGAAGCTTGCGGCGCTATCCACGTTTACGCTTGCGTCTTTGTCGTGAGCTATTACGTCGCTTTGTGCTCCGAAGCTGGAAACACACGAAGAAACTTAAGCAGCGAGACTTAAAACTTGAGAATTTCAACCAATCGGAATTTTCAGCATCGCTCAAGTTTCAAGATGGCTGCTCGCGTTCTCGACAGCCGCTGCGGTCGTTTCTCTTAAGTTTTACTGCTCAAGTTTTTGCGTGCGTTCGGGCCTTGACCCGAATGCGTTACACGTCTACGACAATTCTCCGTGCGTTGCCTTCCGACACTGACTTATCGTCGCACGATAAAATTGCCAACAGTTACTTTCTGCCCGGGGCTCTTTCGAGGAAACGGAGGGAACGGACTCCCTCCCCGGGGAAATCCGGACGCGAGAAAAGTCTCGCGATGAATCTGCAATTCTTAGCGCAATTCAGTCCGCAGATGCGGATTTGAGACTTCGCACTCGACCTCGTGGGTTACTTTCATTCGGGTACAGTTACTGCCCTTAAACGTTTCGCGTTATTGTGAATATAGTTTCTGGGTTAATTTCAAGGCTCGTTGTACCGTTACCGCGTTACGCGAGCCGCTGACATAACGCGCGTCGCGCCCTAACCTCACTCGCCCCGCGAGCCGGCGCGAAGTGCGCGGCGAAGGACAACTTCGCGTCGGTGCCGCGCTGCACCGCGGGGGACACCTTACCTGCGGTATCCCGGCCGCACGACGACCGAGCGAGATCCCTCGTCGCGCTCCCGATCGTAATTCCAATCGAACGCACGAGCCGCGGACGCACGCACGCACGCACGAGTCGCTCGACTCGAGGCCGCATGCGCGGAAATGCGTCGTGCGCGCGCGCGCGCTAACGCAGTCGATATATGCATGCGGTCCCGTTGTTGTTATCGAATCCTCGACGACACGCGGCACCTCGTATTACGGAACTTTTCAGGAAATTTCTGACCGTTGCAATAATATACACATTTCATAATTATACATTTTTTAAGTATCTATTTGAGTATCAAAAAATAATTTGTTCGAAATTGTCTTAACGTTGCAGCAACATAAAGACTCAATGTACAAACAGTAACCTAGATTCAACGTAGAAAATGTATTTATACTTTAACATTCAACATTGCAACGTTTCAGCGACATTATTTTAACTTTCTGTGCTGTATTTGGGTTTCTGCTGAACGCGGCCATTGTCAAATTCGACATCAATTGTCGATGTCGACAACGATAGACTAGTCATTTCTCGCTGTAATATTGGGTCATCCCATAAGTAATGTGGCTTTTTAGATACCTATTGCTTAAATAAAACGAAAAAAAGAGAGCGAAGTTTGAGACCAATCACTTGATAGATTAATCAGAGTATGATCGAAGATGTACCTAGAGTTTCCCCAATTCTACGATAGGGTATTGGGTCATTCCACGAGTAATGCGGCTTTTTAGAGACACCTATTGCTTAAATGAAACGAGAAAGAGAGAGCGAAATTTGAGACTTGATAGAAGTCAGATTCCTCCCGAGAAAATAAGATGAAAGTACGGAATAAAATATTCCACTCGCTCCGCTATCGACCTCCTTTCCGGTTGTGCCAGTCCGCAGAGACATTCCGCAGAACCGCTCGTTTTAATGTTATCAGCTTTGACTCGACCGTTTGTTTAGTGACGCGTATGTGAAGAACCAAGACATTCCTATATTGGGTCCCAGAGATATCTATTTTTTTCCTTAAAAATGAAAATGCCGTCTTTGTTTTATCTCGTTGCAAAAATATCCCTGATAACCGCATTACTTATGGAATAAGTCATTGTGCAGAGGGAGAAGAGAGGGGGAAGCGGCTCGATGAATCCTTAGGATACCGACGAATCGTCGAATCTCCCTGACAAAGCGAGCCTCCGACATGAATCCTTTTTACAGAGCCGATGCTGAAGGCCAAGTGGAAGGGCCTGCGTGACACATTCCGCGCCGAGCTGAAGAAGGACCAGGTGTACCGCAAGAGCAAGTTCCACCGGAACCGGCCGGTATGGATCCACTTCAAGAGCCTGCAGTTCCTCAAGGAACAGATGCTGCCGCGGCCGCCGATCTGGGAGCGCAGCATCCCGAAGACTGAGGACGAGCTGCAGCAGAGCGAGGGCGAGGGCGAGAACGGCGTCCCGACGTCCGGCATCGACGGCGGCCTCGACGATCGGGACGCGATCGCCGACCATCTGCTGTCGATGGCCGGCGACGGTGGCGTCGGCCACCGCCATCACCACCATCACCATCATCATCACCAGCTCAAGCTGGACGGCGGCGACGGCCGGCGCGGCACGGTGGACGTGAAACGCGAGCCCGAGGAGAGCTTCGACAACCTCGAGTTCCAGAGCGTCACCGACAATCTCGCGGAGAACGAGATGATGCTGCAGAACATCTCGCCCGAGCAGGTCCTGATGAGCGACAGCGACGGCGGCGTCGGCCTCACCGGCGTCGATCCCCTCGAGGGCAGCTGCCGCTTCGACGACAACTACTACTTCCTGATGAGCCTGCTGCCGCATATCCGCACCTTGCCGGCCGACCGCCGGATGCTGCTCAGAATGCAGATGCAGGAGCTCGTTTACAAGGAGGTCTACAAAAAGTCCGCCGACGCCGAGCAGACGGCCAAGACTTAACTTAAGACCGCGGGCTCCCGAGACTCTTCTTTTCACGCCGCGACCGTGTCGCGTCCGCGCAAACGCGTCGGAGAAGCGAGGAATCGCGTCAATTTTCTGCCCGCGTCCATGCGTTCAAGTCAATTGGCTCTTCCTCGCCGTCATTCGGTCTCGTAATTCAGTGTGGCCGCACGAAGGAAGCGGGATCCTCGGTGTTCGTAAACCGTTCCTCAAGGAATGAGGAGTCCTCGTCTATGTGAACGTACAGGGTGTTCCAGAAATAAGACCGTCAAAAGGGCGTTCTACTGACAGTAAAATTACGAGACTCGGCAACTTTTCTATCCTGCAATCAACCCGCTTGAAAGTTTGTCAAATGGGATAGTAACCTAAGAATGGAAGAAAAAGGACGCGATTCCAGACGCAAGTTCATATGACTTTTCTTTAAAATTTGACCACTTATTTCTGAAGCGCCCGGTACAAACGAAAAATCCCTATTCCTCGAAGAGCGACCGCAAGTCTTCGGGAGTCGGAGCATTTTATTTACTTCTTTTCCCACGCAGCGCCGATCGACGTGTGGTCGAAGACCGAATTCAAAACGTTGAACGAATTACGGGTTTCAGGGTGTCCAGTGGTCAGGGAAATCTGGAAAACCGAGAATTTTCAGGGGATTTTAAAAATCTGGAAATGTCAGGGAAAAGTCAGGAAATTTTACGGTTTATCTGGATTTTTTACATCGTTTCGCATTTCTTCTGAATAATTTAAAGTTTTTAGAAAATAAAATCTTTGGCTCTCGGTACACTAGTTTTCCGTTTTGCTAAACATCAATTTATTTATAAGCGTGGTCGGTAATTTATATTTTCATCGTCGTGTTATTTAATTTCAATGCGTTCAACCGAGACAAAACTATAAAAGAAGATGAATTACTAAACAGTACTATCTAAGTAAGTTACTATCTAGTAAGTTGCAAACAAAATGCAGTTAAGCAAAACGAAAGCATCACATATGATTCCGGGTCCTAGAAAACCTGAAAAAGTCAGGGAATGTTTTTCATTGAGTTTGCTGGACACCCTGGGTTTCCTCCTCATGTATTCGCGGGTCGGAGCGTGCTCGCAGACAAGGCCATTCATCTAATCTTGATAGGAAAACAAGAAAAGGACCAGTCCCTTGGTAGCGCAATATTTGGAAGTAATGCAATCCTTTCCCAACATTGTCCAACAATGTACCGTCATTGTATTCGCGTTATATCGGGAAGTCTTGGCCGATGCGCTTCCAGTCTAAAATCTAATATCATATAATTATTGACGCAACATTTGCACTTATTCTATAGTCAACATTGGCTCAATATTAGCTGCGTTCGGCATTGTAAGGCTGATGGCAGAGAACGATCCGTAAACGCTTAAGACTGCTTAGTCGTAGACGTAAGGCAAGGCAGAGAAAAGCTTGAGTCGTGAAAGTCTCTTGTATACGCCCTAAGTTTTTCTCTGCCTTGCCTTACGAATTGAGATTGGGATTAGATTAAAATTTGACCAGTCACAGTTTACTAATCTCAAGTTTAGTAACTTTTACTCTAATTGGTCAAATTTCAATGTAATCTCAATCTCAATCCGTAGTCTCATACGAGCTTTAAGCCCTTACGGATTGTTCTCTGCCATCAGCCTAAATCTGAGGCGTACGAGTGCTCCACCTTTCTTTCTATTTCATTCTATTCATTCATTCTCCCTCGCCCTAACGCAAGAGAGCACTCCGACATCAGAGATTCGCAGTGCCGAACGCACCCAGACAGCCAAATCTATCAAAAGAGATTTCGTTAAATGCCCACTAGAAATTTTGCAGGCAGAAAGACTGCATTGCGAGAAAGATTGCATACAGGAACTGATGTATCACACGAGGTCGGCGGAACATCAGACAGAAATATAACAAAGCTTGATAACATGTTTAGACAACAGATTGGCGGCGGAAATCGAGCAGATTCTGCTCACGCAAGGCTTGTTTTCTATTGTTGCACTGATGAACTAGTGCACTAAGCTGGAATGAGAAAAAAATATACTCGTTTTACTCTAATTTATTGCACTGGTTCGCCAGTGTAACAACAGAAAACAAGCCTATGGTGACAGACTGCGGCAGAAACCGAGCGGAATCTGCTGACACAACTTTTCGACAAATTGGTGGCAAACTCCGTTGTTCGCCGGCGATTTATATTGTAACGATCCCGCTAGATGGACGAGCGGCATGACACTTTCTCGTGAGAAGAAAACCACGCGCGGTATTATACATTCACACGTCCACGTGAGATTCCTTGACCGTCTTTCTGGTACTGAAGTGAACTCTCTTATCTACGAATGTGTAGATAGAAATCATAAAATCATACAGGAAACCTTATTAGTTTTACGCATTTTTCTAGTCGGAGAAACGGAAACGGCGATTCCGCTCAGTTTCTACTGTCAATCCGTCGTCAAACCGCGCCGCGCAGATCCCGCCCGGTTTCCGCTGACGATCTGTTGACAGCGCACGCGTTTTGTAGACTCTGTTGCCAAAACAAAAGCCAAATGCGGACGCAGACGGCTATATGCTTTTGGTGCGAGTTTCTGATCGAATCTGCCGTAACAGTTTTGCCGACTGGGCGGCCACTGAAAAGCATCTTTAACACGACCAAAATCGAGCCCTGGAGCTCGCGTGCTACCGAGGGGAGCTCGCTCCCCCGTTCTCTCGGGCCGCGAAGAGTGGAACCGCGAGGAGGGTGGCTTCCGCCGCGCGGGGGTCCACGTCGGCACAACGCGAGAGCGCGACCGCACGGGTCACCGTTGTACGATACATACGCCGCGATTAAATGTACAGCTCTAGGTGGGTCATCAACCGGGTCGCCCCGGCGTCGGGTCCGCCGCTGCGCGGACGGAGACGCCGCGGCGACACGGCTGAGCGACACTGGTGCTTTCTCGTACCTGGCGGATACACCGGCCGTGACGCACACACCTGTGCGCCGCCACCGCCGCCGCCGCCGTCGCCGCGCCGCCGCTGCGCGACCGTGCAACGCCGTACGTACACATCAGTGCCGAATCGGCGGTGCGCGCTGGCTGGTGCAGCGTGATAGCCTCTCGCGGACGAGAGCGCATGCGTTCCCACCGTCGGTGGCTCCGCGATCGGGTTCCCCGTCCGCTCCGCTCGTCGCTCGTCGCGAAAGCGGCGGTCCGCGTCTCCCGCGGCTCCTCTCAGTTCGCCGCCGATCGCACGCCGTTATCCCGATCGGCTCTCTGTGGTCCCGCTTACCTCTCTCGCGCCTCCCGTCATTCCCGGGCGAACGGCGTCGCGGCGTGCACGTCTCGCGCGCGCGCGCGCGCGGTGCACAGGTGTCCAGAGCCGCGCGGCGGTTTTACGATAATACGCTCGGGGTTGTGCACGTCGCCTGCCGCGCGGACGCGGTCTCCCGCGTCGCGCCGATACACCACCAAGCCGCTGGGGCTTCGTGCCGCACCACGAGCGACGCCGAGGTGAGTCAAGTTCCAGGAATCCCGCTTCCGCTCACGGTCACGCGGAGCGGACGCGCCGCAGGCCTCCCCGTGGGAAGCCCTCGCGATCTCGATTCGGAGCTGATCGGTCCTCTCGCGGCGGTAGCAGGCGTCGATCCTCGACGCGTAGCCTCGCCATTGGGTTTCTCGAATTCCGAGATCCGTTGGGGACAGGAGTGCGAGGAGAGAGAGAGAGAGGGGGGGAGAGAGAGACGTTTCGATCTCTCGATCGCGCATTCTTCTCAAGAGATCGAGCCTCGCGTCGCCCGAACGTTGTTCTTATTGACCCGGCTCCGAATCGATCGACGAGCGGGGGAAAGTAGATCGGTTTGCGCGTCTGAAAAGCGAGCGTATATCTCGGAGACTTAGTCGCGAATGGCTGTTTAGCGCGCCGTTTACTGTAAATTCCACTGTACAGACCTTCGATCTCGTCCTCGTGTCTCTTCTTCCCCCCCCCCCTGCCCCTCTCTCTTTCCCCGACACCACTTTTTGTAACATACGTATACATATGTATTCTCAGCCCGAATTGTTAATTTCGACGTGTGTGCAATACGAGCGTGTCCAGTTTGGAAACGGAGCGTGGTTCGCTCGGTCTAGTCTAGCGTTTAGTCCATTTTAACCGTGGCTCATTTCTCGATTGCGAAACCGCCTGAGAAGGAAGGGCAGAAGATCCGCATGTGTGTTGGAAAGATATTATTTTATTAAAATAAAAGGACTTTTTTATTACGCCAGTCGTTCAGCTGATGATTCCATTGCGTCACCGATCGCCGCCGCGAAGAACGTCGGGCGTCCGCGAGATCGGAAATCTCGAGGCGCATTGTGTTTCTCTCTAATCGGCGGGGAGCTATTCTTACACGCGACTCTTAAATGTCACGTGCGCGACGGGCGCGAGCGGAAAAACTGCGACTGGCAGCCGATGGAAAAACAAAAGCGAGTCGCGACGACACTCGGTCTTGAGCGAGAACAATGAGACCCAGTCGGAGATGATTTGTCGATCGATATCGAGCGATACCTACAAATTTATGTCGAATAGACGTCAATTCGACGGTGTTGATGCCAATTCGACATCGTTTCGACATCGATCGACGGTGTTGAAATCAATTTGACATCGATCGACGTCAATTCGATATAAATTCGACAGTGTTGATATCAATTCGACATCGTTCAACATCAATCGACGTCAATTCGACTTCAATCGACGGTGTTGATGTCAATTCGACATCGATCGCCGTCAATTCGACATCGTTTCGATATCGATCGACATCGATCGACGTCAATTCGACATCAGTCGACGGTGTTGATGTCAATTCAACATCGTTTCGACGTCGATCGACGAGTAATTTCCCAGTGAGAAATGATTCGTCGATGTTGAATCGACATCGACTTCGTCAAATTGATGTTGAATCAACGTTGATTCCACATCGCTTCGACGTCGATCGACGAGTCATTTCTCACCGGGTTCTGGCTGGAGAATTCTTCGGGCGCGATCTCGACTCCCGAAAAAGATTGAGAGATGCTGGAGAATCGGTCGGCTGTCGAGGAGCGAGTGGCCGCAGGTAACAGGGCGTTAACAGGAGCAAGCGGGACGTTGATACCAGCGTGCCGTTGAAGAACGAGTATTATCTCTCGGTGCGTGTTAAATATATCTCCGCCGCGCGCGCTTTCGAGCCCGCTCTAAATAGGCGGACTGGAATCTCGGCACGCCGCGCAATTCGAAACGCATCTACGCATTCCGTTCCGAGTGACAAGTGCCTGGAGACCGAAACGCCTGGTCCTGCTCCCGGCGCGCTTAGTAAACAGCCCGAGCGTGACGCACGGCAGCCGCACGGAGCGCAGATTACGGCACGGCGCACGATAAGCCGCGATCTCGACCGAGGTGTCCTGTGCGGGAAAAAAAAGAAAACACGCGTGCCAAACGCGGACGATCTAATCGGAGTAAAGCCTGTTTCAGACCACACGGAATTTTCTCTTAAAATTTTACCCTGAAAATCGTGTAATCGTGGGACAACGTGACACTTTGAAGATCTTTATGAGAGTTCTTGAAATTTTACCACACATTCTACGCCCAGAAAAAAGATTTAGTTAGATTAAACAAGGCGAGATACGCAGAAATCATGTTGAATCTATTGAATTTTTATTTACTTCTACTAAAACATTTGCTAGATTTAAATAGATGTAAATTCTCTTAGAAATTCCAGTCTCGTTCAAATAAAATTTTGGTTAAGGTAAAGAAATCATTTCTGTGAAATTAAGTAAAAATCTAGCAAGGTCAAAATTCAAAGATAATTCGTTTGATTCGAAGAAACTTTCTTCCGGGTGTACCAGTAAAATGTATGCCAAGTATAATTACTAATGAAACGTATGGTAAAATTAAAAAAAACTCATAAAATTCTTCGAAATGCCATGTCCCACGATTCCATTCTGGTTTTCGGGATAAATTTTGAGAAAAAATTCTCTCCGTGTACGAAGAGATTGAGATTGAGATCAGATTGAAATTTGACCAATCAGAGTAAAGTTTAGTGAATTTTACTCCGATTGGTAAAATTTCAATTTAATCTCAATCCGTAGTCTGATACGGGCTTAAAGGCCTGAGCAGAAAGATTATCGCGTTCACGAATCCGTAGTAAGGGTCAGAGCACAAAGCAACGTAATGCATAGCTTACGACAAAGACGCAAGCGTAAACGTAGATAGCGCACACGCTTTTCTACATATGGCGTTACTTTTATGCCAAAGCTCGTGCGCTATCTACGTTTACGCTTGCGTCTTTGTCGTAAGCTATTACGTTGCTTTCTGCTCTGACCCTAAAGCCTTGTGTCCACTATCCAAGAACTGTGTCCAAGTTCTAGTTCCGAGAAATGCGTAGCCAATCACCTTGCAGCTTTTATGGAATAGCTGCAGGTTGATTGGCTACACATTTCTCGAAACTAGAACTTGAACCAAATTCTTGGATCGTGGACACAAGGCTTAAGACGCAAATCGATGTCGGAAGTCGACGCACAAAAGCATCTGTCGCGTCGCGAGGCGACATACGAGTGGGTCTACGACAATTGTTGGCGCGCCGACTTCCGGCACCGACACTCGAGTCTTACGACAGTGAATCGTGAACGATCTTTCTGCTCTAATCCAGTGGGGAATGATGCGTCAAAACGGCGTCGATTCGACATCGTTTCGACATCGATCGACGAGTCATTTCTCGCTGGGAAGGTCCTAAATCGGTCGCCCGTAGTCGGCTTGAAAAGCGAACGTGTGCGCGATAATCGCTTGCCTGGCGGCTCGATAAATTTATGTGTGGAGGTAAAACGTACATGATACTACACCGTGTTATTACGCGGCGTTATGCGCGTATCTCCTTGATCCGATTTCGATTTCCAATCCGCTGTAACGTAAGAACTCGCTCCGTTAATTAAGGCTCGCGCGCCGCGACAGGCATCGCGCAGCCGCTCGGGACAATAGCGGCGCAACGAATGCAACGAATTATCAGTCGATCTTCCCGATTATCCCCGTTCCTTCGATCGAGCGTCAACGTCCTGGATCGGGGACACACCGCTTTCGACGTCAAATCGATCGATATTTATTAAAATAGCTTCGCGTTTCATTCCCATTATTTTAGAACGAGGTATATCGGGGATCCTCAATCTTCGGGAAACCCACGCAACTTTTTTTTTGTCGTCAGGGTAGAAGGAAAGATAACGAGAAGTAATATGACTCGTCCCTCTTTTCATTAATCTCTCTTACGTCCTTTTCTACGAATGTAGAATTTTTGGAACTGGAAAGGGATTAAAGGCAATTAAACCGAGATGAAAATTGATCGACCTGCATGGGTAGAAATGGACGTTGGGTAGAAATTGGGCCCTTTGGGTTTTTCCAACGTTCGCTTAATCTTAGTTTAACTCATCCGTTGTGTCTTTCTAACCGTTCCTTTAGGAAAGAACAAAGAACGAGTTAAAAAGAATGAACGAACGTTAACGACGTTGGAAAACCCGGGCCTTGACGTTTTGAAATGATATACCGCAGTATCTGGGACACACACAATCGAGCTCGAACTACTCGGCCTCTCGAGTGCAAGTTTTCTTTCTCCGAATGACACGGTGCTTACCGATAAATATAGACGAGCGCTGCGAGGAGACGCAGAACAGGAGGTACACTTGCCAGTGCTCCAGTTAACGGTTATCGCGTTACGGTAATACGATTATCGCACGTTAAAAGCTCTTTTGAACTTGACAGCTGCGCTTTTACGACACATGGCGTGGCGCGTCGCGGACGTCACGTGCGCGACCGGTACCGTTCGACCGATCGTTAAAACGATCATCTGCCGATGCCACTGCCATACCCGCTACGTGTTGCTGCCGGCGCGGCGGGTTGGAGCCTTGGATCTTGAACGTTCCGCAAACTGCTCCGGAACCGCGGTTTTAATGACAGCTTCTTTGCTGGAGTCGCGCTCAACTTTCCCTTAAGCGGGATTTATACAAAGGCCGTTATTGTCGCTGCACTTTCTTTACATTTAACTTCATATCTCTTAATTTTCGTTCAGCTCGGCGTCGCTGGCTGACTTTCATTATGAACGTCGCTCCCGTTTCGATAAATAAAACGACCGAGGTCCCACTTTGGGCGAACGAAAAGATTCGAGCGGTCTGCACTAAAAAAGAAATCTGATAGATTCAGCCACTCGTCTGTTGGAAAACGGACGATTCAGAATTCCTTTAGGATTTACCAGATGTGTAGTGAAGTTCTAGCAAACTTTTATCTTTCATAACCAGAAATTTGCTAGAACTTCACTACACATCTGGTAAATCCTAAAGGAATTCTGATTCGTTCGTTTTCTAACAGACGAGTGGCTGAATCTATCAGATTTCTTTTTTAGTGCAGAGCGTTCGAATCTTTTCGTTCGCCCAAAGTGGAAGATGTGTAGTGGAGATGTGTAGTGAAGTCTAGCAAACTTCTCATGGTTATGAAAGATAAAACTGCACTGAAAGAAACATTT